AGGTTCGGGCCGCTGAGAAGCGTAATACCCTACTTCTGTGTTTAGGTGGATCTGTGTATGAAGAAGCTACAAAAGAGCTGGAGAACCAGAGAGCTCTTACTTTCTCCCTCTCTGATCTTTCTGGATCCGAAAATCCCCCCTTCTAAGTGGGCAAGGTCCTCCTTTTATACCTCAAGGGGATACCACATGCACCATCTCTCTCTTTTTTGTGGGGACTTATCCTATCTTTTCATAAACAGACGGAGACTTGTATGGTTGTCGTCCGAATGACCTTCTGATGGGACAGCCCATACCTACCTCCACTTCCGCCGGAAGCAGGCGCGACGTGGGAAAATGGCTGTCTGCTGACGACATGACCAGTGTCAGACCGGTCACAAATCGGTCATTCTTGTCCACCACGCGTCAGTCTATAAATCTGCATGTTCGCCCTTCTTCATTCAATATCTTGCCTGTAATGGTTAGGATGAAGCCTGGCATATATCTGACCGGAACCAACGTGCCATCTCCAGGAGCTAACACGCCGGCTCCGGGTAGGGACGAGTGCTTGGAGGCTCTCATCCTGACGGGATGGGGCGAGGCGTGCGTCAGACCGCCTGTCGCCACCTAACCCACGATCTGATCGGTCTGTGACTGGTCACTGACCGGATAAACGAGCGCGTTGCACTGCGTTACATGCGGCGTGACGCGCTCGTCCAAACCGCAATAAATGTGGTTAGGTGAGCCCCGCTATGCTCACCTACCCCATATACGCGGCGCAAAACCCACAAGGGGTCGGGGCGCCTCGGCCCTCGGGGCCGAGACGGGAGCGGTCCAACCCCTCGGGGAGATAAAGAGAAGGGCGGTCGTATCACCCTCGGGCCCGACCCCCCCCCCCGAGGGGGTTAGGCCACGTGGGTGATCGTGTCTGCCTCAAGTCTCTAAGTCATGATACTCCCGGTCCCATGTCACCGACAAACAGGCGGATAAAACCTTTTTGACCGGGGTGATGGGTGGTTCTGTGTGAACCTGGTTAGGTGGTAATGTATCTGTGTGATCGTTGCCGGGTACGGTCTCTGTGTGAGCCTACTGTTGAGCTGTGTGCTATTGTAGTTTGGCAAGTTGTCTTGGTCAATTAAGGACTTCACTTCATAAGTCATGGATCTGAGCCTAACGTGCAACCACATGTTCTCATGGGAAGAACCTGGCCCAGTAGGATTCCGAGTCTTGGCACTGTCGGCCCAGGTGGCTAGATGATAGGAGTTTAGGTTCGCCATGGGGACTTTCTTGTCTGTGTGAGGGAAAGGTGTCTCATGGGGGAAGGCAGTGTTGGGACGAAGTTTCTAAAAAGCCTTGTTACAGACTCCTTGGCCACACACAACCTGAAGTGTGACACTTGCGCATGGCCGTTAAAAGGACGATGTATCTTGTGGGTCAAGCTGCACAACCTTTGCAGAGTGTTAATTAATCTATTCGAATAGTCGCGTCCGCGGTCATGGACATGCTCGGTGATATCTCATGAGGGGTAGTTTGTGAAAACTGGGAATGAACTGTGTGCAGGTTAATGAATATAGCTATGTGGTCCTGTGTGGACGAATCCTGTGTGAATGGATAGTTGGTAATACTGTTATTTACAACTATTGTTTTAAACCTGTTTATAAATTGTTTATAACTGCAAATTGTTGTGTTATGCAAAATAGCCATTTTCTTTGTTGTCAGCTTGCATATGCATATTTCTGTGTGCTTGCTGAGTATTCCATGTACTCACCTTGCAATTTCCCCCAATTCCAGAAGAAAGGTTCCCGCTGTTTCCTGAGGAGTTTGTTGCTGAAGACGAGGAATAGGTCGTGAGTCCTAGTTGACTGCCTGTGGCAAGTTGAATGGAGCTACTACGCATTTATCTTATTTCCGCTGCTACTTTAATATTTTCCTTAGGCCCTTCGTGGCAGAATAAATGTAAACTTTAGCCATAAGGTTTATCACAGTCATTATTAATATTAAATATTAGGTTTCCTTTGTGATATTGGCTGTGATATTATCTTTGTGTCTGTGTGTGCTAGCTTGATCCTGGACTAGCACTTATACACAGGAGGTCCTATTTTGGGTCCTCACACACCGTCCGCTGGCTCAACGCCCAGCCGGCCAAGTCCGTCGTGGAGCGGTGGGCGGAGCAACGGCGACGAGTGGCGGGCGGAGGACGGAGGGCGGAGCAGAGGGGCGGTTGGCGAAGCGACGACGGGCGGCGGGTGGCGTGGCGAGAGCGCTGCGAGGGAGGAGGCGAGCTCGTCGGGGCGGCCGGCGGGAGAAGAGGCAGCGCGCGCCGGCCGATGGGAGGGAGGGAGAGGAGCGGGGGTCAGTAGCCGGCGGGAGTCGGTGGTGCGTAGGGGTCAACGCCCGGCGGAGGTGGCCGGAGGAGGAAGAGGCAGAGGAGGAGGTCGCCGGCGAGCGCGGGCTCCACGCCGTCAGCCGCTCCACCCGCGATGCCCAGCAGAACGGCGCCGCCCCTCCTCGCTCGGTCGCCGAGCGCCGCCTCCCTCCTCGCCCGGCCACCGACGTCCTCGATGGTCACATCCGGGTTGGAGCCCTCCCTCCTTTCCCGGTCGCCGAGTGCGCCTTCCTCCTCGCCTGGCCGCCACCGCCGACGTCCTCGATGGTCACATCCGGGTCGGAGCCCTCCCTCCTCGCCCGGTCGATGAGCGCCGCCTCCCTCCTCGCCCGGTCGACGAGTGCCGCCTCCCTCCTCGCCCGGTCGACGAGCGCTGCCTCCCTCCTTGCCCGGCCGCCGCGCGCCGCCTCCCTGCTCGCCCGGCCGCCTCGAGCGGCCCCTCCTCTCGCCCGGCCGCCGCGCGCCGCCTCCCTCCTCTCCTGGCCACCGCAAGCTACCCGTCCTCGCCTGGCCGTCGCGTGCCTCTCTGCCCACCGCCCCCCGCTGCGCCGCCGCTCACCGTTCTGTAAGGGAGAGAGAGGGGGGATAGAGAGTAGAGGAAAAAAAATTGAAAATATACCTCTTTTTCATTGGTTTTGTACAAATACGCTCATTTAGAAAATATTTACAGAAATATACCATTGTCGTGAAATGAAAGCGCGAAATCGTGCGTTACTGCACGATGTCGCGCGAGGTGTGCGCGAAACCGCTCGGTCTCGCACCGCGACTTCGCTTACCTAACCCGCGTACTCTCGCTATCAATAAATTAATTAGTGTAATTAGCAATTAATTAATTACAATTACTCCTTTAACTAACATCATTAGTAATTAATTAATCGTTAATCACCCGTTAATCGTCCACTGATCATGAGTCATATCAGGCCATCTCGCAAGGTGATGAAGCGAGACCGCCGGTCTCGCGACCTGCTGTTGCGATACCGTGGCGGATGCGGCGGAATCGCGCCATGATTCTGCGAGACCGTGACGAAGTGTCCCGTTGTCGTCATTTTCGCTTAACGGCTTAGCGATATATTAGCGATATATCGTTTCGATTTCGCTCTTTCAATCAGCGACGACGATATATTTGTGCTAAAAATTTTACATCTCGAATATTTATAAAATAAATAAATAAATAATATACTTTCAAATTTAATTCGAGAGTAGAGGGGGCTGACATGTGGGACCACATATGCCCCACCTTTTCTTATTATTTTTGTGTAGCTGACTTGTGGGTCCCACATTTTTTATTATTTCCTGAGATCCAATTGCCACGTAAGCGCCACGTCAATGCCACGTGGGACGAGGACCAAGACAAAGGGAGCCACGTAGGCGCCACGTCATCCAAAACCGGGCACAATACTGCTGAGAGACCTCTTTTGCACGGTTTTGTAAGTTGAGGGACCCGTCATACCTGGTTTTGCGACCGAGGGATGAAAATCGGACTGGACGACAAATAGAGGGACCAAATGTGAACTTATTCCATTTTAAAAAACGAGCCAAGCGTGCTAGTCACAACTTTTTATTTCCAGCCTAGTCACCATCTAAGCTACCGGGCCGGAGCCCATGGCACAAAACTAGGCACGTGTTTAAGCCTAGCCCAGAAAGCATAGCACATTAGCACACGAGCATAGTCATACTAGTACTAGCAGGTACGAGACGCGGAAGAAAATTACACAAGACTGAGGTCCTACAGTCCTCCGAAAGACCTCGTCCCTCTACATATGACACCTGTCCACTACGAATCTCAAAGTAGGCAGCCTCTGTCTTCTTCCTATCTCCCCAATCTCCTGTGTTCTGCCGTTCTTCCTCAACACGACCAAGTAGAGCTTACGCACGACCAACGCACGCGGTGGCGGCCGCCGGTGTCGAGCGGCAACACTCACCCAGCCAATTGACAATTCGATGGTGACTAATGGTGAACACTTAGATTTTGCTCGTTGCTTTCAATCTCCATTACTGCTAAGTGCTAATTATTAATGGTGATTGAATTTATCCGAGCATTTGATGATTCTTTTGGACAGTGAACCTTGGAAAATCACATCGTTGTCTGCTTTCTCATCAAGAGGCTTGGTGTACATCAACTCCCGAATACATATTGTGGAGCGGACCAACGGAGTTCACACGCTACAGCAAACATGATGCAAGCCGACTGGCAGCGGCAGTTGAGCACGATGTCATCGTCGCACTCTCCCGACAGTCATCCATGAGCCCGAAGCCACTCGCCGTCGCGCCCGCTTTGGTCGGGTTCGAGGGATGCCTCACCGAGCGGAGGAAGAAGAATGGGGATTAGAGGGGAGAGAGGTTGTCTCTTTGAGATTCGTAATGGACACTTGTCACGTAAGGGGACGAAGTCCTTTAGATGAGTGTAGGACTTCAGTCCTATGTAATTTTCTTCCACGAGACGCTCCAACTGTCCAAGCAGAAGTCGTCTTCTCGCGAGAAAAACACTGAAAAACTGATGACGCGAGTACACTCGTCGAGCGGTTAGCGACGGAGCCCTGCAGCGTCGACACGCGTTCCACCACGCACCCCACGGACGTGTCGGCCGCCAGAAGCTCCGGCTCGCCTGTATTTAGCACGTACGACGACGAGCGATCCCACTCCTAACACAGTACAGCGACGACGACAGATTAACCGAGAGCGATCGATCAACCAAATCAGAATCAGGGCAAGAAACAATGGCGCAGCTGGTGGACAAGGCGAAGGGGTTCGTGGCGGACAAGGTGGCGCGGGTGGAGAAGCCGGAGGCGGAGCTGGCCGAGCTGTCGTTCCAGAGCGTGGGCCGCGGCGGCGCCACCCTCGCGGGGCGCGTGGACGTGCGCAACCCCTACTCCCACTCCATCCCGATCTGCGAGGTGAGCTACTCGCTGAAGAGCGCCGGGAGGGAGGTGGCGTCGGGGACGATGCCCGACCCGGGGTCGCTCACCGCCGGCGACACCACGCGGCTGGACATCCCGGTGAAGGTGCCGTACGACTTCCTGGTGAGCCTCGCCAGGGACGCCGGCAGGGACTGGGACATCGACTACGAGATGAGGGTCGGCCTCACCGTCGACCTCCCCATCCTCGGCAACTTCACCCTGCCGCTCACCAAGTCCGGCGAGCTCAAGCTCCCCACCCTCTCCGACGTCTTCTAAATCGGCATCGTGCACACGTACGGGCCGAGTGTACGAGAACTTGTGTATTTCCAGACTTCTGGAGTAATAATAAAGAACACGAGTGGTTGGTTAATCGCGAATCGTATGCGCGGTGTCTGTAACGTACGTTTATGTGTGGACGTTATGCTACGGCGCCATATGTCCATATGCGTGCCGACGCGCGGGCCGGGGGCCATAGGCGGCTAAATCAAGTAATTAGTCAACCGCGGCGATTTGGTGAGATCGCTCCTTAAAGGCTCGCGCCATATTGCCCACATGCGTTCCACCAGGCCACGAGGCTCACGAGCAAACGACGCGCCCGGCAACGGCACGATCGCCCATGAGCGCGCTCGCCCTGCCGTGCTGCGGTGTACCCATGCCGCTCATGCGATTGGGATTTGAGAGAGGTTCGGAGTTATTTAGAGGAGCTCAATATTATGAGAAAAGCTGTTATTTGAGAAGCTGTTAGCCTCTAGTTTTAAGAGGATCTGGAAAAGCCGGATTGTACTTCCTTCTTCACAGATTGATCATTATATGATAGAATTTAAATTTTTTCACAGATTAATCATTATATGATAGAATTTAAATTTTTTTAAATTGATCATCATGTAACCATATTGAAAACGGATTTTATCGAAATATAATTAATGGACACGAATTTTATTGTAATACAATTAATACATCATAGGAGAATATATATATATGTGCTAGGATGTATAATTGGCATGGTGTTTTATCGATTTTTTTAGGATGTATAATTGGCATGGTGTTTTATCGATTTTTTTAGGAGAATGTGTGTATGGTGTCTTAGTTAATGCGATTTAAATTATTATTGGTCTTAGTGAATAAATATATATGATGATCGTTTTGGACGGAGTAAGTATTAACTAAACTTTTTCAGCTTTTGTCTTTTAATTCTACATTTTATAACTGTCGCTTCTCAACTGACAGGAGCTCCTCTAAATATGCCATATGTTTTCGAAATTCCAAATATTTTTTCTGCAAACAAAGTAGAAAAATAAACGCTTACAACACACACGCTCGCGCACTTATGTTTATAAATGCACATCATATCGCTATGTGCACTTTCGAAAGATTAGACAATCCTATTTTAAGATTAACGAACATAGACAAAGTTATCACAATCGACTGTTAAAAAAATAACTAATCGTAAATAGGAACACTCATATTATTAAATAGGGGCTCATGTTAAATCCGACCAATCACTGAGCAAGTTCTATCATAAGAAATCTAACCATTTAAGCACTTGAGTTACGCTCGATTATAATATATAAAAAGTAAAACTTTTACTCTAAAATAAAATAAATTCACCTTTTGTAAAAATAAACTTAATGTGAGATTAGAGTAGTTGATATTTAAGTTTGAAGTATTTTAGAAATTACGGATGGTCAGAAGTTTAATTATTTAATTAATCTCAAACTCGTACTAAGCGTTACAAGTACGGAACCGGAGGGTAGTAGGATGAACATTTATTAATTAGTGTTTATTATTGTCTATTGATGGTAAATATTGCACTAAAAAAAAGAGAAGTATGTTCCTAACCTGAGCATTGAAATTTCGTAATATAATAAGAAAACTAATTGTAAAATTTCAAATTTATCTGGCATTTTACTTTCCGGTCATAATGGAAGTTCGAAAATAATTTGAACTTTCTAAGTATATTTGCACGCTTTGCGTTTCATGCAAGGGCACCCAATAACCTTAAAATCTATTTTTTCTCTTTCAAGTACAGAAAACTTACTTTGTTGCATGTTTATACTCATTTCAAATTATAATCAGTTGGAATTTGAAACCAAAAGTTTCGGTTGCGTTGATAGTCTCCGTAGGTACTAGTAATACGCGAAACGGTGGGGCTGGGAGCACTTTTATAGCACTGTAAAAGAACTCACACATCTTTATCGTTTCATTAGTTTTTTTACTAATCATGTCCGCAGAGCAAAACTAGAGAGGCAGCGGAAAATTTAATTATTTGCTACTTTTCCGTTTGGTAATTAGCCAAATACCTTTTTAGGTTTACACTTATGAATTTACCATTGGAGAGAGAAGCTTTTGTAATTTTTTTTCACTTTTTTTCACTGTAGAGTGCCACGGCCGGTACATGTGCATGCCAACATGGAACCTACGCAAAAAAATGACTAATCTACCCATGCTAGCTAGCAAACATGTGCATCTTAGTCATAATTCATTAACTGGAGAAATAACGAGAGAAATCGGCAACCTGTCCAATCTTCCCATTTTAAATTTGCAAGGCGACAAGATCAATGGCACCATTCCGGTTACATCAGTTCATTAACTTTTTTAATCAAGCTAAATCTCTGTAGCACCATGCCAACAATGCCAGCCAAATTAAATACCGCTCTTAATCTTAGTCACAACCATCCAGTGGATCTATTTCTTCAAATATTGATTCGTTGTCCGACTTGGAGGTACTTGATCTTTCATACAAGGACCACCAATTGAGCAGGTTGTCGCTCGAATCTTCAATGGCCACCTCATAAACAGTGAACAACATCCATACCTCTGCCATAGATTTTGCGAAAGCAATTTTATCCTAATACCGTTCCTGATTCAGCCTATACCACAACCAATTGCTAGCAGGGTAGATTGGTCATTTCATGTGCCTGTCCATGCTGGCATGCATGTGTGGTGCTACACAGTGCAGAAAGTGGTAAAATATTACAAAATCTTCTCTCTCCAATGGTAAATTCTTAAGTGCAAACCTAAAAAAGATATTTAACTAATCATCAAACGTAAAAATGTTAAATAGTTAAATTACCAGGCAACAACTATGATAAGCAAAGGTAAAATCTAAACCGATAACACTTTCGGTTTAGTCTTAATTAAAGAGCGACGGACACATACGTAAGAGAACTACTAATACACGTCTATCATGTCTAGTTGCTACCAGTACACCCAACAATGCATGCCTTTCTTTCTTCTTATAGAATTCTCTTTTAAATTACTTATCCGATCTATAATTCGATTACACTATTATATTCATTGCAATTAAATCTTTATAACAAAATCTTACAAGACTATATTATGATGAAAAATATTTATGTTGTAAATTACTATTATTATATATATTAGTTATTTTTATCATATATATATATATATATATATATATATATATATATATATATATATATATATATATATATATTATATTTTATTAAACTACTTTTTAGATATTCAGTGCATGATCAGTGTACTTTATAGGTTAGTTTTATAATATGTTGATTAAATTTAATTTCTAGATAGACTTATGTTTTTATCCCCCATAATAGATTTACTTTTGATGTCGTGACAAGTTACTTTTATAATATATGTAAATTTTTTATAATATATGTAAATTATTTTTAGGTTTTATTGAATTTAATTTTATATGACCAAGAAGTAATTTAATAAAATCTAAAAGTTATTTAGATATATTATAAAAGTAATTTGTAACTTTTCATAAAAAATATAATAATGTAAGATCTTGTTATAAAAATTTAATTGTTACGAACACAATGATGTAATCGGATCGTAAATCAGATGAGTAATTTAAGAGAAAACTTTATAAGATGAAAAATAAACATACACTGTTAAGTGTACTAGTAGTAACCTGATCGCTGGTTATGACAATCTAACATACAACACCATCTTAATCATGTCCATAAATAAAAGAACAAGACTATATAGCTAGTGGCCATCTATGAGAGCAAAAATAACCCCAGTACCCCACACGAAACCCACGTGCCTTCAGTATCTCTCCGCCACCCGACAGAGTCCACTCTCCACTGTCCATAGCTGCCTTCGCCTGAGTTCGACTAGGATACATTTGCACCATATAGTATCATTCACCAACTCGAATCAACACACACTAGACACGCATCTAATTTGCACTTAAGTAATCCGATCGGTATCTGCATGCGCCTGATCTCCACGTTGCGCTGCATGAAACGCGTGACGTGAACAGGCCAGCTACCCGGGATCTCTCATGACGATCGACAGGTCAGGTCGGATCCGTATTAATCTTCGCTCCAAATATTTACCAGTTGTAGGGGTAGGTTTCCCACTGCATGTCAAATATATATGTCATTGCTGACACGATCTAATTAATTTGTCCATGTCACGCTAAACTAAACAAGCGTCTGCGATTTTTACGGCGAAATTTGGAGTAATTAAGTAAAAACATTTTGGCTTGTTGCTATAATGCATCGAGCTCAATCTCAAAGTTTCAGAGTCCTGTCAGTTATCACCACGAGGGGTTAGTTAGCTGTCCATGTTTGCACGCGTCCCGACTGATCATTAAAAAAATATTTCTTGTTAAAGATGGAAAGGGAAGCAAGTATAGTAATGACCTGGAATCTGATTGCCTTGCTTGATTTGGAGATGTCGAGTCAGCATGGTCTCATGGATTATTCCCGGACAAGTGAAGATCAGATCTGATGTGAACTCTTCTTTTCGAACAAAACGATGGGAACTGGCCTGCTACCACTATTTTTTTCCTGGAATGGGACGATATGAGTCTCAGCTGGCGCTCCATTATTTGCTAGAACAGTGATCGATGCGATCACAGCTTGGGCTACGGGCTCCAACCATGTCACCAACCAAATACTGCCTCCGTCCCATCCCAAAATAAGTAGAGCCGTAGGTGCAGAACGTTCAAACGTTAAACACAAACAATACAAATCTACACTTATTTATTTTAGAATAGAGAAAGTAGTACTCAACAATAAGAGAAAAACGATCTTTTTTTAAAAAAAAGCTAAATTGATTATTTGTCTGATGATTGTTTGGACACCTAGAAATTATCCATATGAAATCTAATTGCGTCGTTGATGCCACTACATTTTATTCGTAAGATAACCTAGTTATGCTTCTAAACTAGCTCACAACCAATGAACAAAGCCTATAATATTACAAGCTTTAACTTTTAAGGGTGATGGATCGAGCGCGTGAAGTACGAGTAACTGTCCACCTTTGCATGGAAGGTGGCACCACTGAGCATCCCAACCTCATCGATAACCAGTAAGGGGAAGTTTTATAGTGGATGTGAAATTTAGTTCACATCATCAACTCATTAATTATAAGAGACAATATATATAAAACAAATTACCTCTAACACATTTGCCCCAATACATCATATTAATTTACTTTATTTGTTTCCTATCAATTCATTGGTCTCTTGTTCTCATCTCTCTTGGAGTTTGTGTAGAGATTGCCCCTTGCATGAGAGGTGGCACCTTCTCTCACACCTTTCATATATCTCTTCCACGTCATCACGTGAGCTTACATGGAACCTGAGGACAAGTGTGTAGAGGCTTATAATACTTGCCCTAAGAACGTCACTGCTCTTTTCAAGCGGCGAATCTTCTCTTTCATTGGTCAATTCGCTAAGCCAAAGCCTCATTACCACCGCTTTGTGAGATAACCTTTTACCCTCGCTTCCTTTTCTTCTCTCCTGACCTATAATATTAGTTAGTCTTCGTTGCCTCGCCATGTCCCCTTTTGCCCAACTTTTCTTCACACTTGACCGGAGATGGACTTTTTTTTCCCTCGAGGGGACATCCACTCGTTTTGTACATAACGTTTAAAATATCATCAAAAAAATTTGTCAATAATTGTTAATATAGATCATTATATGATATATCTTTGCACAAACATGCAAGTTAAATTTTGACCTATAAAATTTGAAACAAAAATAACAAATTTGACCATGAATTACGTATTTCATAGTCAAATTTGATATTTTTGTTTCTACTTGTATAAGTTGAATTTGAACATGTATGTTTATGGAGTGATATATCACATACTGATCTATCTTACTTTTTTTTCAAATTTTTTGATGACTTTTTAAGAGATATGTAAAAATGAGAGGATATCCTCTTAAGGGATGATTAGAGTTTCCCCACTTGACCTATGCCCACAACTTCTTTTTCTTCTCCCTTGACCTTACCCCTTTTGCCTTTCCCTTAACCTCTGGACAACTAGATCCAATCATCATAAATTTCTCTTTGTTGGAAAACAACATAGAGTAGAGCTAACGGTGAGGACAATTCTCATCATGTCAAGTCGAAGAGGATTTGAAAGGGGAACATGATGATGGCATACCTAAGAAATCCTTAGGGGCAAAAGATCTAATAATTTGCCAAATACAAGCATCTTGTTAAAAGCAAAATAACTATGCAGCATTTGGTAGGAAAATCTAGGAGTGACTATTTTTCCATAAGATAAAACCTAGGTAAGCACATAAGTGACCCTTACTCTTAGGGATTGTATTTTCATACCAATCTTGATGATTCCACTTAATTTTTGAAATTATATGGGATGAAGGCACATCCATATTTCTCTTTTGTTGATGCCGACCCGATTTAAATGATCAAACACATCCAGCTATCATCATTTTCAAATCATAATGGTATCTAGGGCCATAAGCGAAAATGGTATATTTTCACTGGCCATTGATCGTTGGCGGTAGCATTGGCTGTTTAAGAAAACTTAAAATGTATGTCAGAAAAAGTCCATTTTGTAGTAGTGTCTTCCATTTTCCTTCCCCCTCAGCTGCACACCATGCACGATGGCTCAATGCCTCCACTAGGGTTAAAAGTCGATTTAACTTTTCAGAAACTTTTAGTCGATTGGTAAATACTCACTCTGTTTCATATTATAACTCGTTTGACTTTTTTCTAGCCAATTTTTTTTAAGTTTTATCAAGTTTATAGAAAAACTTAACAACATTTAAAATATAAAAACTGTTTCATTAAATCTAATATTGAATATAGTTTGGTAATATGTTTATTTTATGTTGAAAATAATACTATATTTTTCTATAAATTTGATCAAACTTAAAGAAGTTTGACTAGAAAAAAATTCAAACGACTTATAATATAAAACGGAGGGAGCAGCAAAATGAACGGCCTCGACATCATATAACCCCAGCACTTCCCACGCCTCTATAAAATTTTAGTTTTCTTGACGTGGATCACGCGAGCTCAAATTATTGACACATTCTAGACCAGGAGTACTTTTGCTATATATATATATATATATATATATATATATATATATATTCGTGTGCCTTTGCAAATCAAGGTCACCAAACTGCAGCTGAAATCCAAAGACCTAAGCTTACCAGTAGCCCACTAGGCATCCGGGCTCCCGAATAGCCGACATGTCTTTCTCCCGCCTCCTAACCCCAAGAATTCTCCTGGACACCACCGCCGTGTTCCCGCCAAGCAGCAGCGTCGTCGCCCCGTCGCTCTCCCGCCAACTGCGGTGCACGCGCACGGGTGGGTCGCCGCCGGCGCCGCCGCATAGGCTCGTGGCGCGGCGGGCGATGAGCAACGGGGCGGCGGAGCCGGCCATCTACGGCGGCGGCGGCGGCGCACAACAGGCGGCGTCGTCTGCTGCGGCGCGGCGCGTGACGCTGGCGACGCTCCGCGGGAAGCACCGGCGCGGGGAGCCGATCAGCATGGTGACCGCCTACGACTACCCGTCCGGGGTGCACGTCGACGCCGCCGGGTTCGACATCTGCCTCGTCGGCGACTCCGCCGCCATGGTCGCGCACGGCCACGACAACACCCTCCCCATCTCCCTCGACCTCATGATCGAGCACTGCCGCGCCGTGGCGCGCGGCGCGGCCAGGACGTTCCTCGTCGGCGACCTCCCGTTCGGCAGCTACGAGGCCTCCACCGCACAGGTAAATCTAGATTCTAGACGCGGACGCCACGCCATTGATTAGCTCGACGACGAGCAGCACACATGTACTGAAATTAACTGACACGTACGTATCGTAGGCTGTCGGCTCGGCGGTGAGGGTGATGAAGGAAGGCGGCGTGAATTCAATCAAGCTGGAAGGGAGCGCGCCGTCGAGGATCAGCGCGGCGAGGGCCATCGTGGACGCCGGGATCGCCGTGATGGGGCACATCGGGCTCACGCCGCAGTCCGTCAGCGCGCTCGGCGGGTTCCGGCCACAGGGGAAGACGGTCGAGAGCGCCGTCAAGGTGCGTGTGAACGCGTCGCGCGCGGCGGGGCACGGCGCGGCGGCGAGCGTGTGCTAGCTACTGATCATCGATCTGGTTGATTGCGCACACGCAGGTCGTGGAGGCGGCGCTCGCGTTGCAGGAGGCCGGCTGCTTCGCCGTCGTGCTGGAGTGCGTGCCGGCTCCGGTGGCGGCGGCGGCGACTTCGGCACTGACAATCCCGACCATTGGCATCGGCGCCGGGCCATTCTGCAGCGGGCAGGTTCGTCCATTATTCGAGCAGAGCCGGTTGCCATTCTTTACTTTCTCAAGTTTTCGAAAAGAGGAACGTATTATATGTACACAAGCTTTGTATATATTCTCGGTGCACAACAACTAACAAAATATCACAATTTTTTTTATTAAAAAAGAATCTACATCTACCAATAATCACTTACGTGGTTATGCATAATGGACATCTTCGGAGGACATTGATACGGTTGCACAGCTGTAGCAACTACAGTATCAACAGCACAAATCACACTGCTTTTTTTTATAAACAAAATCACACTGCTTATACGGTTGCTACTGCTACAGCACAGCTACCGCCATAGCCGGCTGCAGCGTCGTGTTGCTGAACAGGGCCCAACGAAAACTATAATTCAGACACTTATATCAACATTTTTTTTAAACACCCAGTACAAAGTTTCGTTTTAATATAAAAGTAAAAAGAAAAACATTAAGTCTCATATCAACATATTTGAATTTCTACCGCAGGTCTTAGTCTACCACGACTTGTTAGGGACGTTCCAAACAAGTCATGCCAAGGTAAATGCCACCTTCTTTTACTGATCCGACCTAAACCATTTTTTACCCGTTACGATTTTGCTCTTTGAGCTCATAGTACTGAACTTCTTACTCTATACCTGACTACATCTGCAGGTCTCGCCAAAATTCTGTAAACAGTATGGTAACATTGGGGACGTGATTAACAGAGCTCTATCAAAGTACAAGCAAGAGGTGGAAACCCAGTCTTTTCCGGGTCCTAGTCACACGCCCTACAAACTAGCTGCCACAGATGTTGATGCCTTTCTGAATGCGCTGAAGATGAAGGGCCTGAATGTGGCTGCTGATGCTGCAGCCGATGCTGTTGAATATACAGATGAGAAAGAGATAAATGGAACGCCGCAGCTCAAGGTCTATGCTTGATTGTTCCTAGCTAGCTAGCAATGGATGAATAGCAATATGGTTTGATTTATCGCAAAATAAATAAATGATTTGGTTGCTGAATGAAGCTGAATCTGAATCTGAAGAGTGAAGACCCATCAAGTGTTATGATCTTCTTTAGGTGTATTTGACCATGGATGCATGGGGATTTCTTATTTTTTGTGAAGTATAACGTGAGTGTTGTATGCATGAAGTATGTATGGGGAGTGCACTCAAACCTATCAGATAGTAGATTCCATTGGTGACAAAGTTATAATTATGTATTCTGTAATAAGTTCATCGTATGCTATTGTTGTGGTTTTGGAATGTGTTCAGCAAAATTTGTAGCAAAGTAGTACTCCTACTTTTTTATAAGATAGTCGCATGTTTATAAAATTATATTAGATCCCGCAAAAAAAAAAGATATTAGAAAAAATGACTTTAATGAATGTTCACTTTGATGGCCTAGACCATGTTAACTACATAAGTAAATTTCACTAAACTACAAATGTTCTTTTATCAAACTATCATAAAACGTTAGATTTGATACATTATATCATAAAAATACATATTTAGTGCTAAATGTATTAAAAACAACATATTTATCAAACTGCATATTGAGGTTCGAGGACATCTTTTTTTTCCGCCCCAAACTCAGCCTCAACCTGAGGGACCTCAAGTGAACTTATTTCCAAACCATCCACATCGGTTAGGTTTAGGTGGGCTGAAAATCCAAATATCCTGAAACCAAATACCAGCCCAATGAAACTACATATTCACTCGTGACTCGTCGTCACCCGTCCCAATCCAAACCCCCACCCAAAACCTCTCGGCATCCCACTTGTCCCCGTCGCTCTCTCTCTCTCTCGCCGCCTCGCCTCGCCTCGCACCAATCACCACACGCGCACCGCGCACTCACTCGCCGCGCGGCGCGGCGCGGCGCCGCCTCACGCGGCGATGATGATGATGATGCGGCGGGCGTTCCGGCACCTGGCGCGGCAGCAGCGGCGGCCGCTGAGCCACGTGCCGGAGTCGGCCGTCTACGGCGGGCCGCGGCCGCAGGATGTGGGGGCGGCGGCGGGAGCGGGGGCGGGGGCGGGGGCGACGCGGCGGGTGACGGTGACGACGCTCCGCGGGAAGCACCGACGCGGGGAGCCCATCACCGTCGTCACGGCCTACGACTACCCGTCCGCGGTGCACGTCGACTCGGCCGGGATCGACGTCTGCCTCGTCGGGGACTCGGCGGCCATGGTGGTGCACGGCCACGACACCACGCTCCCCATCTCGCTCGACGTCATGCTCGAGCACTGCCGCGCCGTCGCCCGCGGCGCCACCAGGCCGCTCCTCGTCGGCGACCTCCCCTTCGGTTGCTATGAGTCCTCCTCCACGCGGGTACACGCGCCTCTCTCATCATTCACCCCATCGATGCTATGCCGCCGCGTTGCCGATTGATTTTGTTCCACATCTGAATTTTGATCTGATAGACGTTATTTTAACTCTTTTTTTTTTCTATATTCGTGTTTACTACTAGGAAAATAGCTATGCGAGTTCATGCAGGATGAATAAATTTTGGTTGTCTTGCAATGTTATTTCTGTTTGGTACAATGGGGATGTCAATAAAGGCACAAATTTACCCCCTTGTGATTACAAAAGCAGATAGTGTTTGGTTGGCGATGCTAGCATCTTATGTGTTCTAAGGAATTTGATTGATATTGGTTATTCTTATCACAAAGTTTCTGCTATCAGATGAAGTTTATTTTATACACAATATATGTAGTACTTGTGTTATTTTGTTCACCTTTCGATGACACATGAGAAGTCGAGACTTGAACTGTCAGTAGAGCTCTGTTTCTTACGTTCAGAACACTAGCATATGCTGAAATTTCAGCTCAAAACAGTATAAAATAACCCAAAAGATCAGCTTGCCAAATACTTTTTAAGTATTTCACATGTATGCATATGCATACATATGAGACATTGAGATTTTCGTGGTGTATGCTTTATTCGTAATAGGCTGTTGACTCTGCGGTGAGGGTGCTAAAAGAAGGTGGAATGGACGCAATCAAGCTGGAAGGAGGTGCACCCTCGAGAATCAGTGCGGCTAAGGCTATTGTGGAGGCTGGAATCGCTGTAATGGGGCATGTTGGGCTCACGCCGCAGGCTATTAGCGTGCTTGGTGGATTTCGACCACAAGGAAAGACGGTTGATAGTGCTGTGAAGGTGTGGTTCTCTTGATTTTGTTGGTTACTTGGCTCTTAGCCTGATTCATGTTCTTTCTTCATGTATAGATTTGCCCCATGCTGTTCTGCTTGTTTGTGTAGGTTGTGGAGACAGCACTTGCCTTGCAGGAGGCTGGCTGCTTCTCGGTTGTGTTGGAGTGTGTGCCAGCTCCTGTGGCAGCTGCTGCAACATCAGCATTGCAAATCCCAACCATTGGAATTGGTGCTGGACCATTCTGCAGTGGACAGGTTCAGTTATTCAGTATACTTCACAGTTCACACTTCTACAGATATATGTTCATTTTCCTCAACAGTTTAGATTAAGCCAGTTGTATCTATTCTGATTCTTGCATCATTTCTGTCAATGCATGTGTAATTTTGTCCTTTAGCTTCCTTGAATAAATAACTTCAATAAAATCTGCTACGAGACCTTGTCGAGTATACAAATTTTATGAAGCCCTCATGCCGAAATATTTGTAATGCAGGTCTTAGTTTACCATGACTTGTTAGGGATGATGCAACATCCACACCATGCCAAGGTAAATGACACTTGACACCATCCTTTCAATGTCAGTAAGCAGCTTTGCTTTGATGTGAGTTGTGCCGAGCTGAACAATTTGTATAATCGCTTACTGCTCTACTGCAGGTCACACCGAAATTCTGCAAACAATTTGGAAATGTCGGTCATGTCATCAACAAGGCTCTATCGGAGTACAAGCAGGAAGTGGAAACCCGGAGTTTCCCAGGTCCCAGCCATACGCCGTACAAGATAGCTGCCGCGGATGTGGATGGCTTCGCGAATGCACTGCAGAAGATGGGCTTGGACGAGGCTGCAAATGCTGCAGCTGCCGCAGCTGAAAACGCAGAGAAAGATGGAGAACTACCCGAGAACAAATGATTTTTTTTTCTGTTGGTGGCTTCGAGCATCAGAGCCTGCCACAATGTCGCCACATCTCTCAATGCAATCCTGCCAAGGCTGCAGGGGTAACTGTTGTCGGAAACGCCTGCACAGTGTTTGGGTAATCTTTCCTATGCCCTAACGTGAGTCTTAAAAAAAAAAAGACGATGACATCGATCCCCTGTCCGGGCAATTATAAACTGGATGTTTGGGAGCGAATTGCACATCTCAACGTATTCTTGCTCTGAGTGACGATTTCGCATCTATCTCGACACCACCCATCATGGGATGCACACGCTCTGAAAGGAAGCACATAATACACACACAGATGCTATCCAGCTACTGAAAGGAAGCACCTTAATGCATTTCTCCAGCCAAGCTAAGAACAGAACTAAAGAATATGCTGTTCCAATGCTATATATTCACTCGCCATCTAGTACATAACTAATTCAGAAAACAAAACATATTTTCTTGCTTTCTGGACTCTGCTCTACATACATTGATAAAAAATTCTATGCACACAGCCACCATATGACACCAAAGTATATCCGGAAATCCTAGAAGTGGCAATATACAGATTTACCAGACCTGGAAATCCTAGGAAGTGGTAATATACATTTACAGAACTATAACCTGTTCTTCCAGATTAGCATTGTAACATTGACTATCATGGCTGGTTTTGTTAGAAATTCAGTATGTGCGAAGTGCATAAGCTGAAATGTGGACCAGGAGCACTTCATCAGTCTCATGTAGAGCTAATCTTAGTTATCCTTGAGTAATCGCCAACGTTGGCAACAAAGAGTGGGTCTTTCTCGTCGCTAAAGATAGTCTTCTCGCCTGCTTGTTCTAACTCTTTAGTCAAGTCTTCCATTGTTTTCTTCAAGTTGGCTTTGCTCATCTGTCCACCTTCGCCCATTGAGATACCAACCATCGTGATTTTGGGGAGAAGTGGGTTGGCTTGTAAATCATTGTTGATGCTGGCATCACATCTGTTCATCAAACAAAGATGATTTGAAAATTTGTGCATAAATATAACCATAAGAAAGATTATACAAATAAACAAAGCGACTTATTAAATAGATTATGATAAACATTAAACAAACAAAGTACAACCAAAGCACAAAACCAAAATTGAGGCTATTGTATAGAAACATGATTCATAGAGTGTACACTTCATGTGCATGACAGCAAGAGGGAAGGGAAAGATGAGGAAGAACAGACCTTCTGAATGCTCTGTCTCTTCCTTGTGCTTTGAAACTTCTATCATGACCTGGCCATATATTAGGAAGCAGGTTGCTAAATGGGAAGTGAGATTGGCCATTATTTGAGTTTTCATGTTTTCCACGGTTGCTGTTATCAACGTCTGACTCCAAAGTTTCTGGTTGTTTACTAATTTGGAAGCAATCAGCATCCTTTGAAGCAGTAAAACTACTACTGGCAGTAGCAGCCCTGTCAATTGCAGCAGCAGTCCTGAGAGTGAATAAAACAAGAGAAAGGCATGGATGAAGCAAAAGGTAGAACTAACAGATACTGATGAACTAGTTAAATTAGTGTAGGCTATCAATGAGTATTCACACAAGAAAATAACAGGTTAAATAATTTGTTTCAGTATCTCAGGAAGTTTGATTATTTTTTAGGCCTCCAATAATCAAGTTAACCATTTTTTCTCTCCTCTTCTCAAGGTCAGATCTCAGTTTTTCAACAACCTTCTCTGTACACTAAACAAGGTCATCAAGCTACTGAGCTACTAGAAGCAGCTTTTTTTAAATATGTGATAACCAGGGTACGTGTAGTTAAAACTAAATTCAAACATGTTAAAAAAATCATAGAAGTATTTCATGACCAATCTAAATCAGCTTGGCCGTTAATCTCCCTCAAGTTAATAGCAATCAGCGAAGCACTTCTATATTAAAAAATGTAAGAGGCGTTAAATAATTTAAACATGCATTGAGGATGCACCTTTCTTCAAATGAATCAACGACATAGGGGAATTGTGGCTGTATGCCAGTAGCTTTTCTCAACCACTTATTTCCTAGAAGCATTTTATCAACAACATCAAGAAATTGAATCTCCGCTGCTTTTGTTACAACATTTAGCGGTATCCCAACTGGACCAATCTCATTCATCAACTCTTGTACCTACATCAACATTTCCTAGCAATTTGAGGGGACCAAAAAAATTGTAGAAGAGATTGGAGACATCTCGTGCATAGCTAATGATCATATTACCTCTGGGGGCTCAAGGAAACTGTCTGCACTTTCTTCCATCATTTCAGATGTCAAACTATCATCAACAATATCTCTCCTACGCCGTGTGTGGCGATTTTGGACCATTGAGTGAAAATGTTGATCCATTGAAGCTTCAAGAATATTGTCCAACAAGTTTTTATCAAAAAAATATGGTGTATACCTGAAATTGTGATCAGCAGAAGAATTCATATTGTGCTTTCAAACAAATACTGAATACACCTAAAGGATCTCCTATGCTTTCTTTCCTATCACCAAATAGAAGCATCCACTCCGAACAAGAACTGCTATAGATGGCAAATGGAACTTCACTGAAGAATCCACGAATACAAGATAACATTTTAGTTGATCAAGTATAAGTAATCCAAACATTTTGGCATTTGACAGAAATCAGCACCTAATGTTGAGTAACGTTTAAGAATAAAGAATAAATCAATGTTGTTTGGTTCACAATGCTGTCAGTTCATAGGAAAATGAAGCTTATAATGAACATCTGTGGAAAAATATATAATTGCTTATTCTTCTCAAAGAAACAGTAAAAAATATCAAGAATTCAATCCATACCATCTAATTCCATCATTCGTTGCCACGGCAATATTTAAGTTTTGAGCACTAAAGACGGGGACACCATCAAGTTTTTTCCTTCTTCTCCTTTGAGGAAGAGACTTTAAGAGCTTATTGGCAGCCTTAACCTATAATGGAAAAGGTAATAGCCTCTAAATGGCACGTTCAAATTTATGCAAAACTGAAATATTTCAGCACAAACCTGCTTTTCACTTGGAACAAACTGGAACATTTGAGGTTTTTCCTGAAAAATAACAATTACAGGGAATATGATGAATACAAGATGCTAAATGTTTGATACGCAGATATGAAAATGACTAGCATAGTGTATGTGTGTGTGATGGGTGATAAATAAATATACTACAAGATCCAGAGTAAAAATACATACTACAAAAAATAACATAAATATTCAGGCAAAACCTCATATTAAAAAAATCATCATACCTACCTTGAAATGCTCGTATGCCACATCAAGGCGACAAGCCCCCACCATACCACTTGGCACATTTAGGCGTTTAACATAAGATACTGAATATTTTAAACCAAGTTAGCTAAAATTATTCCCTGCAATAACTAAATGTTTGAAATACTAAGTTATGTGAAAGCCAGTAATCAGATGTATCTATATAATGCAAGGAAAATTTGCTCAGGAATGCAAAGTTATTTCTAGAAATACAAGATCCAAACCTGAAATAACTATATAACACAGAAAACATAGGCCAGAAGAATAATTAAGGATTGAAGAAAATGGCCTGCCCAATAGGCAACTCTGGATTACCAAGTTTTTGGTGTATCAGATGTGTAAGAGGTGGGTCGTGGGTGGGGTTGTGGGGCTAGGCTTCAGGAGAAGCTAGAAAACACAACTATAATTGGTTTTCTGTTAGTTTTCTAAGCCCGAGTGAAAGCAAATTCTAGGCAAACAGATTTGCGAGATATTTGCTACAAATTTTGAACTGAAATTCTATGCAGTGCACAAAATCTCCTCTATCAAATCTACCCCCTAATAGAGCTGTTCTACAAGGTGCCTGCTGTACCACCTCTATAATCCAATAAGTTCATGATGCATCAAGCAACAAGAAAACAGAGTATTTGATAACAGAAAATACCTGCATCATTCAAATCCATAAAGAACCTAAATACTGGACCATTTTCACTCTTCTTCAATGGCGATAAGATCCTTTTGAACCACATAGGAGTCCTGAGAAAATAAATTTGAAAAGTGCAATTCAGTAGACAACTAATACATTATGATGCCATTATATGTTACAATCAACAATTTGGATTGTTATCAGATAGTGTGAGTACTAAGTAGGCAAGCCAATTCAACAAAGTAGAAACTTGCAAATGATACTCCCTCCGGGTTGATAATATTTGTCGTTTTGGACAAGAGCACGGTCTCCAAAAAACAACTTTGACCATTGTTTTCCATTATAATATGTATAAAAGTGTTAACAAATATATGATTTTATTAAAGTACTTTTTAAGACTAATATATGCATGTAATCACCATATTTGAAAGATAATGATTTTAAAAATGATTCATAATCAAAGATTCTAAAGTTTGACCTCACCCTTGTCTAAAATGACAAGTATTATCAGCCCGGAGGGAGTAGTATTTCAGTATCTGAAGATTTTAAAAAAAAAAACTATCTCAAGATTAAAAAAAACTAATATTTGCATTTCACTGTATGCACATCTACGGTGCTTCAGGTTATGGAGTATCACATACAAGGCTCAATCCCACTTTGGTCTGATGGTCAGCAGGTTCTAGAAAAACAAAAACCAATACAGCCTGAGCCTGCCATGTTGGCATTCTATGTGCTGGCGTCAAGGTGGACAATATGCCCAAACGTCTGGTGCGAGTTGCAATATTGGCACACTGGGTTAGATGGATTAATCAATGTAGTATAATAAAACCACTTCTAATGAGAGAATCAATTCATGGTAGCGGTAAGCAGGTAAGAATTTCTCCTAGATTATGTAATCCACTTCTAAGAAGTGCATAGTCTAGCCGTCTAGCGCATAATTCTCACTCAGTCAAAACAGGTGAAAAAACATTTCGTGTCAGCACTCAGCAGTAACGAAGGCCCCAATCTAACATAGGGCAACATCAACAGATACACTGCTGCGAGAAAAAAGGCCAAGAACAAACTGCGCAGGAAGCAAACCCTCCACGGGAGGAAATGGAAATGGTACCTGCTGGCGAGGAATTGGGGGAGCTCGAAGCGGGTGGTGACGGCCATGAGGCCGTTCCCGGAGGGGTCGAGCATGGTGAACACCTGCCCCACGAACGCGGGGCCCCCGCCCTTCCCCAAACCACCTCCACCCCCCGCCTTGCCGCCTGACGCCGCCGCGGCCATCCGCGCCCCACGGTTCGACTCGGGGGAAGCCGCGGCGGCGGAGGCGGAGGAGGAGGAGGTGATGGGGAGGATGAGAGGGACGGCGAGGTGGGGAGCCGGGGGCGAGGGCGAGGGCGAGGCGGAGGTTGGGGACGGGGACGGGGAGGGGAGGAAGGGGAGGGTGGAGGCGAAGGCGTGGAAGGGGTTGGACGCCGACGAGGAGGTGGTGGTGGTGGTGGAGCGGCCGCGCGGCATGGCGGTGGATGGCGCCGGGAGAGAGCGGCGCTGCTGTTAAAAAAGTCACGGTGGCGATGAGGGGTGGGAGAGCGTTTCGTTGGATTTGGGCTTGGAATCTGGGGGATTTGCGGGTGGTGGGTGCGTTGCTTCGGCGAGGGATTAGCTTAGCACGCTTTTGGCTCTACCTCGTGTTGCCTTCTCTCCTCTACTGATTAATTACTCTCCTAATCTCATCTCCTGTGAGGTGTGAGAGGCTAGGGAGGTTGATAACTTGATTGATTTCGAGTCGTCTAGGATTAATTAGCTGCAGTGCAGTAATTGGTTAAACGTTGTTTCAAGTCAATGCCTTAACATCCAGATTATCCGTACAAACACACTAGTTTTATTTTGTTAGGTGAAGCTCCGAATGGGTCGAAACTCAGAACACCTTTTGTCTATTCTCTGTACAATACAGAACATGATTTCATCCTGACAAATAAGTTCGATGTCATACTCCATCCATTGTGCTTTGTCGAAAACACTACCACAGCCGTTGCCTTCAGGCTTCGATAATCGAAGCAGAGGACGCACCTTTCCACGGTTCTCAGGAGAAATTAGTATCACCACATCACGGTTAGATTGCTTTCCTTTCTTCTCAACAATCAGCAAACGGCTACCATCTTGATCACTTCGGTGCAGGCAGCAAAGCTAGCTAAACCACTGGCTACATTTTTTGACTGAAACGCAGCAGTTTCTCTTCCATCAGCTAGGTCACCTTCATAACAAAGCAACCACTGAAGATTGCCGCCCTTCTGTAGGGTTAGCTCGTAGTACGTCGTGCCAGCATCCTCTATGACGTAGTGGGTTCACATACTGTTGTCCTTTTATCTGTTCTCATCCTGGTATTGATCCTAGGACCGGTATTCCTGCTGTTGCTTTTTACAGTCTCTTTTCTAGGAATGGTGCGCTGTACAACCCGGATTGGTATCCCTCCAATGTCGAAATCTTCTTTGAGAGATTTTGTCAAGAACCTTATATCTGTATCAGATAGCTGAACCTTCCCACTCATAAAGGCAACGAACGTCGGTGGCCGTGCTTTCACCTGAGTGAAGTACTTCACTTTTGGCTGGGTAGCTGAGTCTTTCCAGGAATGTCTGCTCATAACCTGTCACGGGGAATTCAAAGGAAGACTAATGTAAATGTCGAAGTGACATAAAAGACTGGCGATCAATAATTTAAACATGTGGTCAAAGTAGAGAATGGCAATGATATCTAATAAGAACTAGTCCTGAGAAAAAAAAAAGAACTATGGAAATCTGACATCCCTAAGTACAGATGGCTTAGATCAACCACTACAGTACAAATTGATATTTCTGAACAACCCCCTAGTTATTCCATTTTGCAAGCACAAAATCCCACCTAGTGAAGGTAACTCACTTTAATATGCAGCCATACACCATCAAAATTCAATCTAACAGCACATATTTAAGTTACTACTCCCTTCCAAGAATATAAGGATATCTGGAGGGGGGTTTTTTAGAGAGATTAAGGTTGAGGTGAAGGATGGTTGTGATTGGTTGATATGGGGAAGTAGATGGGGATGTCCTCAAATTATTGGACAGATTTCAAACTCTAGATGTCCTTGTATTTCTGGACAGAAGGAGTGCTTGTTGCTATCCTACATTTACATCACTTGCCATGGTTGTTAAGGCGTAAGGCGACCTGAGGCGATCCATCCTCGCCTTACTGCTATAATCCACACTATTAGTAGCGATTAGAAGAGGGAGAGAGAAAATTAGCCCTGCAGACCAGCCCAGAAAGCTCATGTCGCCCACAAAGCCCATGCCACCCAAAGTTCAAAGAGATAGCCCTAACACAGTGTCAGGCGAGTCTCTCCTCTCACAGCACCACCTTGATGTCGCTTCTTCTTCCTTGCGCAAGCTCTTCTCCTCTTTCTGCGCTCCTTCCCTGCTGATTCAGAATGAATCCAGCACTCCACTCTGCATGTGCTCCTTCCCTGACTTGGATGGATCTGGCTGCTCCCCTGACTCAAATCAATCTGGTACAGGGAGAGAAAAGAAAGGTAGTGGAGACCAGAGCTAAGGGGGAGTAAGATGGGGGATGACATGGAGCAGAGAACAAGGAAGAAGGGGAAGTTGCTGCTGCCTTAACCTCTCCCTCTCTCCCTCTCTGTGTTATGCCCTTAAGGCGGAGGGACGCCTTGACCCCTGGGAGTGCCTTAGCGCTATAGCGACGCCTCAACAACCATGTCACTTGCAATTCCTACTTGTCACACACCCTAAAAGCAAGTTCTGTAATGCCAATGTAAGCACCGAACACTTGAGCAAGATGTTTACCTTACGCAACCAACGGTTCAGCCGTGAGGTCGACAACCTTAAACACCATTTCTCATAAGTATCTATAACCTGGCGCATGACAGCAATCCGCCCCCTACCCTCCAATGCAGACATAAACACAACTGGTATTCCTGTAACCTGCCAGAAATAGGAGAAGATTAGTATATTTTGTCACGTGGTCCCCTGTCAAAATATGAAGCAAACTACTGATATATTCTGGTAAAATGGTTCACTGTAATTCTCCCTTTTTAGTGAATCAAAAGTTATACGAAATGCACTGGAAAAGCAACACTTCATATTTCATAATGATATTACTACACTAAATCATTAATAGATATGCAACGTGCTCTGGAAAGGTCAAAAAAATAAGCCAGAGATTAGATTGCACATTTCCAGCCATTAGCAGACACTAAAGAAATCATGGTTTGTCAATCAAGAACATGGAAGATCCATCAAAATGAATCTCAATATCTACATTCCGTCAGTAGACAGAGCAAGACATCTCCATGTGCAATAACAACCAAAACAAAGAAACTTCAATCTTCCATTTCTCGTACTCCATCGGCAAACAAAGTAAAGCATCTACATGAGTAATACTCAGAAAGCACTAAACTGATAATAAAACATCAAGCTTGTTGCTGAAAAAACTGATTATAAACTTGGCAAGGTTTCAACTAAAGAACAAATAATCAGAAAGCTTTCCCAGAATCAATTGGAAATGAAAGTCTCCAAGATAATTAGATAATACTTAGCAGAAATTACACAAAAGTTTCCAGTGTCTGTGCAATCATGTTAGCAGTATATAGGTCAAGGTTGTAGGTTAGTACAACAAGAAAGCAAACCTGGGGAATAACTGTCTGGATTTCTTTAGGAACAGCATCTATCACTTTGTCAAACAATGGTCGGTTTTCCCTAAGAAGATCCATTTTGTTGACAATCACAACAAGTCCACGACCTTCTTCTATTGCTTGCCGTGCTATCAGAACTTCAGGGTGATTCATGCTACTTTTAGACTTTGCAATCTACAAATTAATAAAGATTTGTTATGGCATTGGCCGTTAAAAATCAAATGACAGCAAATGCATAGACATGCAAAGTATCAGACTGGTATATTCAATTTAAACATTGACTATGATGCTTCTGATGCTTACTAGTTTGAAATAGGACTGACATTACAACATCAAGCTTACAAAAACTAAATTCAGTACATTAAACAGAACTACGGTTAAGAAGTAATAGTATTGAGGAGGCGATTGTTACAAAATAAATGACTGTACAAAATATTACTGGCACTGGACCAAATTTCACATGTATTTTACATAAAAAGGTGGTGGCACTCGCCATAAATGTGAAAAGCACATCAACTATGATTTACAACCACCAACACATCCAATACTAGCACTTTAGTAGTGCAGCCCCATGACTAATGCAACTTAGTTTCTAGCAGAGTACATAAACAACGTTAACATGCTTGATGAGGTTGTTCATCCTCTGTCTGACTCTTTGTACTTGGCAAGTTGACATAGAACTTATGCATATCAAGGTTAAAGAGCAGATAACCCAGGTGATCTAGCAAATGCAATTGGTAAAGAAGAACACCACAATCAATTGAGTTATTGTTTATTCCCTCAAATATTCAGACAAAAGTCATACACATGTAGTGATGCCTCCATTAGCAAATCATGGCTTGAGAGGTTGAAATGTTGAATAGCACGCCCTGCTCAAGTGCAAATCAGGATTTTTTTTTTCCACATTCCAAAGGGGCATGAATATATGCCACATTAATAACATGGCACCAGAAACCCGTAGTAAAAGATATTCACTTGGAGTTCTTCGTTATGAAAAAAAAAAGACACAAACTACAGAACAGGGGAGCATTGAAAATGTTATCCCTTAACCATATAGAAAGAAGCATAGTAAGAAATATGCAGGTCATTGGCTCAGAGCACATCAGGATGAAATTAAGTACCTTTTCTCCATCCAGAACAAGAGCTACAATATGAGCTCTCATCAGATTCTTTCTTGACTGCACCACGCTCAACGATGCTGGACCTTTCTCCTTTCCTGACCTTTCCATCCAACCTGCAGTGTCCACCTGCACCACGAAAAAAAGGAAAAATGAAAATGATGACTCCGTTCAGATAAGTAGCTTGCATGGACATTATGATATGAGCTCCTAGATTGCACCATGCAATCGCAACTTTGAGTGAATTTGACACACTCCAACTAGATAATATTTTTAAACAAATAATCATTATGTTCTCGCAAAAAGGCTGTGTGACACATCATAGTGTAAGACCACTAAAGTTCACAACACAAGCACATATATATATGGCCAATACAAGAAATAAAAGTGAAAAATATAATATTGAACTCATAAAAAGGAATTACCAAATATACAGTTCGATTGTCAAACTGAAACTGAGTCCGAATAGAGTCCCTTGTTAAGCCTGCCTCGGGGCCAACCAGAACTCTTTGTTCTTGCAACAAGGTATTCAGCAGGGTAGACTTCCCAACATTAGGACGCCCAACAATTGCCAATTGCAAAGGTAACTTGCTTTCATCACCTTCATGGGCTTCCGTCTCAGCCTCAGAGGTAGGGTCATCTTGGTTGAGTCCATCTATCATATTTGAGTGTAATTCATGAATAATTTGTTCGTAAATGGCAATACAGTTTGCTTGAGAGAAAGTATAGCATTATAAGCAAACACAAAAGACTATTGCCTTGAACTCAATAGGTTGTGGTCACTCATTTGTTGATCCCTCCATAACAAACAAACCAGTTCCTCCAGTAATGTGCATGCAAATAAAAAAATAAGGTAGTCCCAACTGTCAAGATATCATTTCTACTTGGGCAGAATAAAAGGGACAGATTTACCAGATGAAGATATGATATTGTTTAGAGAAGCCTTGATACCTAAACATTCTGCTAAGAAGAATTCATCATAGAGGTGAATATTGTACTAAATGTCTCTCGATCAGTATGACAGTAGAAGGTAAAGATGCTTGACCAAGGAGGAAGCATGGAGTCAGTCATGTTACCAAACATCAACACAAATGATCAATAACAAAAGAGTACTTACTGTTTGTTAGCTGAAACATGTAGTCCTCAAACAATGGCCTTAGTGTCTCATAAAGCTCTGCCATCCCCAGGCCTGTCTCTGCAGATATTGCAACTGGGTCACCAAAACCCAACCTATGGGCTTCTCCAGCAGCCGCAGTCAGCACTCCATGCTCATCAAGTGACTCAGACTTGTTCATTGCTACAATGGTATGTATCCCAGATGCATGTCTCCGCAGCCATTGTCCAACCTCAAGATCCAGTGGCTGCAGACCATCCCTAAACAGAGCATTGCTCTTTTAATAGGCAACAAGTGCCAACACTTAAAATTGACTCAACAATGAGAACTTGAAAATTGAAATCAAGCCATAGCCTACTCACCTGACATCAATCAAGAAAATAGCAAATTGAGATCTAGCTAACACATTCCCAGTCATGTCAGCTGTTCGAGCAAGGATGCTACCAGATGTTGCTGCTGTCTCAAGTCCAGCCGAGTCAAGCACACGGAAACGGAGATCACCAAGCTTGGCAACTCCTTCACGAATGTCACGGGTGACATGGTCCCCAGGTGTATTGTACACCAATGCCTCCCTCCTTCGTATAAATCTAGTTTCGATAATCAAAACCTCTAAGTCAGAAGCAAACATTTCAAGAGAACAAGATAGTGGCAAACAATGCACGCTGCAATGCCAAAGCGCATAAACTGATCAGAGTAGTACAATGATGAGACATTTGTCAGTATGTACGCAGACCAAATTGTGGTGAATGATTCATGAAATGATGAAATACATAAAGCTTCCAAGGAAACGTACCAACATACTTGATGTAATAAAAAAAATACATAATAGGTTGCATGCGTTATTGCAAAATGCAAAATATTAGAGAAGGTAAATACATGCTATCATAAAAATTAAAATGTGTATGAAAATGCAAGTTAAGTAAATTCAGAAAATGATAAGGGGTTTAAATGTGCAGTATCATTAAGATGGCGGCAACCATAAGTTACAATTGTAAGAAAGGGTTATCTTGCACCGCGAATTTTCTACTAGTAGGAAGCGGTAAGAAAACAAAGTGGAGTAACCTAAAACGTGTTCGTGGAAATGCCGACCTCACGATACACAAGCAAACTACGAAGGGGGGCGTCTCTCACCGGTTGAATAGGGCGGACTTGCCAACGTTGGGTCGGCCGACGAGGATGACGGTGGGTAGGAGCGCGGCGTCCACCTTGGTGAAGTCGAAGCGGGACTGCTTCATGGGGTTCTTCCTGGCCTTGCCCTTGGGCTTCACGGGAGCGGTCGACTCATCCGCTACGGTGGAGTACACGAATCCGGCGGAGCCTGGAAATCGGGAGAGGAGAGGAGAACTCCGGCCTGCGTTGGGGAGTGGGACGGTGAGACGAGGAGGGAGGAGAGGGTTTAGGGGGTTTGGTTCGAGAGCGGAGAGGGGGGACTTACCGAGAGAAGGAAGAGGCGGGAGGCTTCGAGAGGACGGGAGGGGACGGTGGTGGAGGAGGGCCGCGGCAGCTGGACGGCTCCGGCGGAGGGCGGCGCGGAGGATGGCGGCGGCCATTGAGGGTAAGCGGGACGGCGAAGCGAAGCTGGGCTGGGCGCTGCAAAAAGCAAGTGCGAAAGGCCCAGGCGCCCAGCGCCCCTGCGTGACTGCTTTGCGTCCCTCCGAGACAATTTAGCCGTAAAACTGGTGTAATCTAACGAAGATTTACCGTATAAACTTATGGGATAACATAGTACTACCTCCAACATAAGATATAAATATTTCTAACTATAAATATTTTTCATAAACACAATACAAACGGTAATACTCGCGGAATTCATCATGGATGCCTCGCGGCACATCCTATCCCCTATGAGCATATCTTGAGATTGACAAAGTCATCATAACCGTCTTACTCGCTGTGTACATGTACATCCCGCTATTACTGAAAAATAATTAGACCTAAATACGAGCATTTATGCTAAGTCGACTTGAACTCGAGTGAGCTGGTTCCATCACACGGAATGTAACCAGTTAAGCTATACTCACTTTGTCAAACTATGAATCCTAGGACTAAATGGGACGCATCCAACTACTACTAAACTTAAGTTTGTACTAATAGGATGTGTCCCATCTAATTTTCGGTTCTTATATTTTGAAATGAAGAAGTAAAAGATAGCTAAAAGTTATTATATTTTGGAATGGAAGTGCATATACGAATAGAGGCCTAAACAACATACGCCTTCATCTGTATTGTTTTTCTTATATTATGCTGTTATTATATAATACCTCTGTTGGTAGTTTGGTTTGAAACATAGTTAAATAAGCAATTGTCCCTAGAATAGAAAAAGACTTATGGCTACGAATATGAACACAAGATATATCCAAGTTTAAACCTAGAAATTAAATTTTCTAAAATGAAGATAGTATTGTTATTATATAGTTGGGTACTTGTCTAAGAAACATGTTTAGATGGTGAAAACAATAATATAGTTGAGTACTTGTCTAAGAAACATGTTTAGATGGTGATTTAGTTTTGACAGTTCGTTTTTCTGATTGGAGATAAGAATTTCCGAATGGAACAATTGATTTTAATCATGTTTTAATCTTGACAGATTGTATTTCTGTTCAGAGACGAGATGACTACGGCTGGTCAAACGATCACGAACATGGTGCACATTCATCCGCTTGTAGGCAAATGCATCCATCATATAAACTCGAAAACTGTAAAGTAAGATCGTGCTCTTGCGTATGCGTTACAACAGATGCTAAATTTCACAGCTAATTTTGTTTCTGATAGTTCCTTTAGTAGATCAATTGTCTGAATGTTGCAATGTTGACATTCAAGACATAAGTTATCTTGAGCATCACATCAAAACAATTAGACAGGTACATAGCTAGAGTTCATTACAAGGTTAGCAGCCTACAATGATCATTACATCAGAGCCTACAACGATCATTACATCAGACAGCACCTGTTCTCTACTCCTTGCTATTCCAGAGCCTGTATGTCAGAAACTACAGCCCTACATCAGAGGACGACCTAGGTCACCTATCCATAATTACAACACATGTAAATACAGATAGATACAGGAGATACATAGATTAGAACGGCCGTTAATCTATGTAAAGTCTCCTCAAAACAGACACCCAAGGCTCAATCAGAGTCACTGTCATGCTCAAGGAAACGATACTCCCTTGGGCCACCAAGCCTTAGTACTATGGTCCCGGCATTTTCCTCATGCCACTCAACGCCTTCCTTCTCCACAAGCTCGGCAACCTACCACAGCCATTTTTACAGAATTCAAAAGCATGGTACATTAGGTAATGAGATTGACCAATTAAGAGTACTAGTCTACAGATTGAAAGAGTAAAGATCAGCAACACAGACACTGTCAAGAGCTGCATGCTAAAAGCATTCTATTATAGTGGGGCCATATAGCCACCACGAGATAGAAAGTAATATAACACAGGAAGGTATCAAGGTATTCAACCAAACATTTCATGAGGGCAGCTCAGTTTCAAGAACATGCTGATAATACTATAAATTTAATGAAGAAACGAAGCATGACAACAAGCAGGCACACATGTGAGGTCCCAGCTTGTCTAAGCAAATACTTACCGCGCGCTTTATTTTTCCCTTCCCTGTGCCTTCTACACCACAACCAGTAATTACTCTAAGAAAGGTGGCTGTTTATAAGAGCACAAGAAAGGAGACAACAGTAGGACCATGAAGCATTAGACCAAATCAAAGTTGAATAAAAAATATTAACACTGATAATCAGTGTAGCACCCAATCGGGTCATACTAGAATACTCACTTGGCATGCACACACAAATCATCATGTGAACCTTGAGAAGCCTCATGGCTTGTTTAACATGTTGCCCATGCAGGTCAATAGTCACTGTATTCGTTATATGCTTATTTCTGCAAACAGAAGATTAGCACGCAGATGTGATTTAAAAGTAATAGCTGGGAAAGTTATGCAAATTACCTGGCTTCAAATATTTCCCTGCTAGCTCTCTCATCTTCCATGCGAGCTAATTCACGGTAATGCTTCCCCTAAAAAGACAGAATTTTGATACTGAGGCATAAGGAAGTTACTGAGATTTAACAGCCTATGCAAAGTTTTAAACTTTGAGAAAATTGCAGTCTATTGGCATAAGAAATGTTCCTAAAGAACTGTATGCTGCACTACATCAGAAATCCCTACAACCTATCTGCTATCACCCCGCCTTCTTTCTTTTATTGAATCATCATAGTCATCTCAGAATTAACAAATTAAAATGGGATATCAGACCTCCTCTGCGAGATAGGAGGCATAAGATTTTTCTCCTTTGGAATATGCCATGGCAGCCTGCATAGGAAGAAATGACAGGAGGCAATAAGAAATACAAAAGATAGAGGGTATATGATAATAGTAGTTCAGATTAAAAAATCCCTCTTACTTTCTGATAATATGTTTTCATTGTATCATAATGCCTTCCAGCGACAGTACGAAATTCTTGATACCCATTCCCTTAATGAGAGAAGTAGGTGTTATATCTTTTCAGAAGTATCAAATGTAACAATAACAAAGCACAACAAGTGACAGTTGAAACAAGAAGGGGAAAACAATTTTACTGTATTAATAGGGTGAGGCATGTGCTCAAAACTAAAGGTATTATCAAGTCCATAAATAAACTAGTCTTAAATGAAGGTCATACAATTATTGATCTTATTATATGGTAGCTCAAACAGCTACACTTCCCAGAATTCATTCTAAAGTGATATTTGGAAGCCATTGAATAAGAATGTGAAAACATGCTACAGATTTAGAAGATGGATACAGAAAAAATTGCCAGAAATAAAGGAAGTAAAGGAAAAAAGTTCAATGTGATGCAAAAAGAAATTAATGATCTTAACAAATAACGACACAAATAACAGTGGCTAAAACAACATACCATTTTTTGGTTTTTCTTGATTGTTCGATGTGATGGGAGAATTGAATGACTGCAGCCTCTTAACTACCTTCTTCCAGTCCATGGAACTTGGTTCATATGTGCGTTGTTCAGGTATTTTGAACAGTGAATCGAGCACTTGTTGTGGTGTCTTAGATATCGAGCTTGTTGATCTTGTAGATGATGTTGTTGAGTGGGGCTCCTCACATGCAACCTTCAAGTAGCTGTTGAGCAAGGATAACATAGAAACAGTCACATAAGTGCAAAAATAGAGTTGAACTTACAGATAGCAACTAACTAGTTATACAATCTGCGCAATTGAAGTAAATAAACAAAGTATATGCACCTACACTTAGCATAAAATTTACAGGTTAAACTGGTAAGGTCAAAACATTGCAAGAGATACAAGCCTTGACTGCAAAAAATAAGCTCACATAATTTGTTTGTCCATTATAAAGACCATATTTTAGAATTCCTAGGAAAGTTGCAACTTTAGTAATTAACACCATGCAATCTGATGTATCTAGACAACTTAAGTTTCTATCCGATCGACTGAGAATATGTCCCATGATCAAAGATTTTCTATTGTGCTTCTCGCAAACACATATATCCAAATAAAATATTTATACAGGATGGGGTGCAAGAATAATGCATAGGTATATCCGTATATTATCAATTTGACGCATGAGCTAGCAAAAATCAGCTTATATATTGGCAAATTATTACCCACCTTCTCTGAAGCTCGCCCCAAAAGAATCCGTGCTCATTATCGGAACGATTATATGACATGTTTCGCATTTCATCTGTAAACTGAATAAAACTATAATGTTAGATAATAGTTTTACAGGGGTTTAAAGAACCTAGTTGAAATAATATAAGTATCTAGAAGGTACTAAGGAACAAGAAGGAATCACAAGCATGCTTATCAGACTGTATGTATCATGTCAATCAATAGGAAATAGAAAGTTGAATTCCAAATGCTTGATATCACACTCTGTGCAAGGATCATTATCAGTGTCAAAAGTGAACAAGAAAACCAACACAATTTATATCATTCTTGTTTGTCTTGTTAGCACTAAAACCACAACTCAGCAGCTCCTAAAAACAAGTGGTAGTAAGTGGTGTCTTGAAAGATACCTTCTTATCTTAGAAGGCTGTAACACATATATGTTAGCAAGCAAGAAGATACAATAATACCTGCACTAATAACTACAAAATTATAAGGTAGTCTATCCAGGTCCCACACTAATATAATTTGTAAAAAAGATAACTACTGTGACCTCAATAATAACCACTAATATATGCATGAGTGAACTAAGAATAGTCTAAATTTTCAGTACGGCATATCTGCATATGATTGTAGATAGTGCTAAGTAAACACCTGGTATGAACTTTTTTCAATGCCTGCAGTTGACACTTCCTCAGACAGTCCATTTCCTAGGAAGATGTTTGGAGAGCTCATGCCATTTATTTGAGCATTCGGGAAACACCTTTCCATGTTTTGAAGGGAAGACATACCCGAGATATCAAGTAATGCATCCAGAGCCTGAAAGCATTTCAATTTGTTAAACTTCTGAACAAATAGCTGAAAACTTACGGCATGCAATTCTTTCAGGGAAACAAGAGGAAATGCTAGTTGATTAGATTTCATGCAACCTAGATAACAATCCTTGCTTTACAACCTTCCTTTTGGTTTAATATGTGAAAATTCGGTACAAACCATCAAGTTTGCCCACTGATGGGTGCTCATTGACCCACACCAATCACTTGAAAGTGAACATCTCTCCCATTTCCTAGTATGTATCAGGTAGACAATTGAAATCAAATAAAATGGTGTGGATCAGTGGGTAACTGTGGGCTGACCCACGTGCATCCCTACCTAGATATGACAAAACTTTATATCGATGTGACCAACTTATCATGAGAACAAGCCAATCTGGTTTAGAATATCAAGACCTACCTACACTGGCTACTACAAATATGATTAGATGGAGAGATTTTCTTATAAGAATAAGGTGATAATATTAAAAAAGGATTATGCCAGGTTAGATCCAGTATACAAGAACTGTGCAACACAGCTGTACCATCACCACCTTACTCATCAATGTCACAAGTGACCGCAACTGTTGATGGTATTTGATGTCCATCGATTGTTTTTTTGTCAATAGACACAAGACACTGCAATCTGCAAAGGCTAGACATGTTCCACATGTACTACGGCATGTGTTTCCTACTGTCCACATCTTGTGTCTAGCAGAAAGGCACTCTTTCGCAGCCACAGTAGACCAACTGGAACGCTATTCAAGAAATTGGTATCGTCTGCGCAATGTCATAAGTCATGATGGATATTGGTAACAAATGATTACCAAAGGTATTTTTCATGTGTGCATGTGTTCAACATGACATCATGTACCATAAAAATATTTCATTTACTTGCATGGCTGTTTTCATGTGCAAAAAAATGACAACTTATTTTTGCAAATGTGCATGATTAATGAGTGGAAATTCCCGGAATAGTGCGCTAACTTGCACAAATGCATAGTTGCTTGTTTTGAGTTTGGGAAAAGAATCAAGTTGAAAATAGTTCCCGCGAAGAAAAGTAAAATTCTACTCCAACCAAAAGGCAAACTTTTTCTATTCAGGACGTAAAAACATAGCTGGAAGTCACTGAGAAATGGACCCAATAAGATAAATCCTTTACCTTCTCAACATCGCATCCATATTGACCTGAACAATAGAGGGAAGTAACATCAGAAACTCATTCCACTAAGATTCATTTCCACTTCCAACTGACTGGCCAATCACAAATAATAAAATGTTAAGGTAAAAGAAATCTTTTGCCCTCCACTAGTTTTAGTAAGCATAAAAGTGAAAGATTTGGTATTACATTCAATGAAACCATAAAAATGGATCAACTTTCAACACAAACACAAACACCAAATTTCATCCAATGACTAGTTTCATGACGAAAACATAACTTCAGCAGTTGTGTGAGTAAATTATGCAGCAGTTCCGCATATAAATAACATTTACAAACATGCAGCTATTCAACTAAATGTATAGATGATTTTAACCTGCAGAACGCTACCCATGTATGTAAGAAAACCAGCCAATGTCCATGACATTGAAAGGTAGAACGTTGATCTATGATGGAAATCAGTATGCTTCCATTCTTAGTTCATGCAAGAACTTAGCATAAAACAATCACCGTAGGCAACAATCTCCTTCACATCCCAATGCTTGGCCTAAGAGAACAACGGTGCACCACAATGTATGTTGGCATAACACAAGTCCAAGTGACTGATCATACAAGAATCTTGCTCTATTTATTCAGGGCTTCTACAATGTTTCAAACAAAAAATCAATCCTCTGAATAACCTTCCTATAGGACTTCATCCCAAATCCACCATCACAGCCTCAGACACATCTGTGCTGGAAGAGGCATAGTCAAACCTAATTGCCACAGATTTGAGAACGAGATAGACAGCCTATTGCCCTTTCATTTCAAGCATTTTGAAATAATAATAATACCCCAACTAATCAATAACATTTTGTGTTGGGATAGCTAAGATTAGTAGTAGTAGTAGTAGCACTAACGTCAAATATTATTGACTGGAGGGAGTAATAATAACAATTCATATAGAATATTAGCAGATCAGGAAGTTAACACAAGATTCGCACCCAGAATAAGAAAACTAAAAACTAATCATCATATTTTCTAGTTCAATCAAACAATATATTTGCTCCTTTCACTAGATTGGCTTATGAACTGTGCAATGTTATGGATGGCATTTGGATTCTCTTTTTGTAAACAAGAACCAACCATTCCTTGGGGGAAAAAATATATCTTTTGAATCGTAGATGCTCTCCTGTTGTGTGTAGTAAGTGTTTCTATCTTTATTTCATTCTTTGATGTATTATAACTCTGCTGGGCTCTTACAACGGTAAAAAAAATGCATTTTTTTACAGGTACGCTTGTTAGGCAAAAGCAGCTTACCGAGCACGTCTCTGACCACACCCATGCCAAGCTCCGAATTATCCCCCAGCATAGAGCACAGGAACTGCTCGGCCTCTTCAACACTATACTTGCGGTCGCCACCACTTCCGTCCTTCCAAGCGTTGCCCTTCCACGCGTTCGTTTTGTTTACGGGCGAAGTGGCAGGTCGCGTGTACGCCTTACCGATCACGTCCGCAACCATCCCGGTCGCAGCCACGGCTACCTTCTTCGGCCTCCTGCTGGCCTTCCTGCCACCAGATCCGGCCCGCGGCGAGAGATCCGGGGGCCGGGGTGGCGGGGAGGGCTGCGTTTCGGGCGAGGAGCCAAGGATGCCGGCCGCGAGGAAGGCGTCGCCGCCGGCCTCGCGGTAGGCGGAGTCCACCTGGTCGATCGTGGCGGTGCCGAAGGCGTCCAGCAGCCACGCCATGTCGCGCCGCTCGTCGCCGGCGGCCGACGACGACGCGGTGGAGGCCGACGACGAGAAGGCGGAGAGGGAGGAGGTCGAGGCCGCCCCCGACGACCCGGGGTTGAAAGCCGACGACGACGACGAGCACGTGGACGCCTCGCAGCTGCTGCTCGACTCCGTCTCCGACGCCACCGCCGCCGCCGCCGCCGCAGCAGCTAGGGTTAGGGTTTCCGACCGCGGCGAGCACGACTCGCCCCCCGCTCCCCCATCCGCCGCCGCCGGAGGGGTCGTCGGCGCCGCCGCGCCGGCCGCCGCCGCCGGCGAGGGCTTCTTCTTCTTCGATTTCTTCTTCGAAGGCCTCATCTTTTGAGCTCCCTCTTTCTCTCCTCCACTCTCTCCACCCGTTTCGCCGTTTTTCGAGGGGTTTTTCGATTTTTTTCTCTTTTTTTTTGGAATTTTTTTGCAGAGGAGGCGACGAGGCAAAGCCGCAAAGGAGAAGAGGGAGAAGAGAAGACGAGGCGAGGCGAGGCCACGAGGTAGAGGGGGACTCGGAGACGGGCGCGGCGGAGTCAATGGCAGGTGGGCTCCAGGTGAGGTGGGGCCCACCTGTCATTGGTTAAAGCGGCGTGGGTAATGGGAATGGGTAGAGTCTAGAGTGGCGACGGTTGGGGGATACACTATTTTGGACTGGGTCTACCCAATTAGACTGGCGGGTGGGGTCGAGGAGATCGTGGCGTGGGGGTCGTCGAGGGGATCGTGGCCCACCTGCCAAGTCCGCGAAAGAATCGGAGGTTGTGGATATCGATTCCTGGCTTCCTGTCCTGGGGGCCACTAGAAACACGGGGAAGGTATTTTTCACTCTCAGGAAATGAAAAGGTGATCCTCGATCGTTTCTAAGCCTCGTTTGATCCAAAGAAAATCTATAGAAATTTTAGAGGATTTTATTTCTATAGGAATTTTTTCTATAAAGCTCTTTAAATTAAAGGAATGAACTCTATAGAATCCTATGAAATTCCTATGGAATGCCTCTTTCCATATAAGTTTTGGAGGAATTTTAACAAGAGGTAGAAACTCATGGAAGAAATCCTTGGAGTTTTTATCTCTCCTTAAATTCCTGTGTTTTTCCTGTGGTTCAATCAAACGGTCATACATATGTTTTTCCTGTATTTTGCAATCCTCTGTTTTACACTTACATTCCTGTCAGAATCATATGTTTTTCATATTTCTCCGTTTTTGTCATTCTTGTGATTCAAAGGATCCCTAAACAAGTTTGGTATTTTCGTGCTCCTATATGCTTATGCAGTATACTCCCTCCGTTTCAGATTATAGGTTGTTTTGACTTTGGTCAAATTTAAACCAATTTGAATTATAGATTTAATAAAGAGTAATTTGCACCCACTATATATCAACTTGGCATGTGGGTGCAATTTGATGCAAGAACTTGAGAAATGAGTATGCTAATGCAACAACTTGACAACTACTCCTAAGTGTAATTTGGTACAGGAACTTTATAAGTGATTGCATAAATGCAACAACTTGCAAGATATGTACGATTTTGATACAATAAGTTAAGAAGTTATGCAACAACTTAATTAGTTGGAGCACTTTTTTATACATATTCAACTTTTAAGTACTTATTTTGACAGTATACTAGCATGGATTTTTATATAAGCATATTTATATTTTTATCCTAATAACTAATAATTGAAAGTCAATTAAATTGGATATATAAATTATTATATTTCGGTTGAGATTTAGGAAGGTGAAGAAAACAAAAATTCTTAAAGGTAATTGGATGTGCAGTATAATTCTTAAAGATTAAATTCAATATTATAAGGTAATATCCGTAGGATTGCTATGTAATGGCATATTGACATCGTAAAAAAAACTCATCTAGCATATGCTTAGCTAAGTTTATGCACCAAAATACTAAATTGTCAAGTTATTGTACTAGAACACACCCATATGTTATGTTGTTGCACTCGAACGTTCAATTCTCAATATCTTGCACTATATCGCATCCACCCGCCAAGTTGTTTGTACCGTGGATGCAATTTACTTTTTAATAAAACTAATTTGGTGTTGTAAATATTGCTATATTTGTCAACTTAGTTAAATTTGAAGTAGTTTGACTTTGACCAAAGTTAAAACAACTTATAATATAAAACGGAGGGGGTAAGTACATAGTCCATCCATTTTCAATTAATCATCCTATAGTTTCTTTAAGTTTATTTTCAAATAATTATCATATTAGTATACATTCTCTAAATCCATATATTATCTGTATATGGAAATGGAAAGTAAAAGGACATTGGGACATGCATCCATACATACAACCAGTAATAAACCAACATGTAATATCTTTGCTTGTTATTGGTTAGAAAATAGTGATAATTGTGCATGTATTGAGATTGTTACCATAGCACATGTTGTACAGGTTGGTTTTGCTTGTTTTTTATGTACTCATGTAATGTGATGATCGATTGGGATCTGAGAGAGTATAGCAGGTATAAGTAATGTTTGTGACTTTTTTTTAAGAAAAAACATATAAACCGAACGCTCTCAAACATTTCGCTCTCTCACTCCTATCATCCTATGGACACACAAATATACACCTTGGCCATCGAATCAGCATATATTGATATTAACAAAGTCATTATGGATATCTCGTTGTCAATGGAGAAGTCGTCTGCCAGTGAATAAATAATTAACCGTAAATACGAGCACATGTACCAAATGTAAGATTTAAAATCAGGTAGACAGGTTCCACCTGCCCCTATTATTTTCTTATTAAGAATCATATTTTACCTTGGTTTCCGTTAGTGCGTTTTTCAAATTATTAAATAGTATGTTTCGTGCGAAAATTTTCTATATAAATATTGCTTTAAAATATCAAACATATTCATTAGTCAAGTTTGTAATAATTAAATCTTAATTAATCATATGCTAATGGTTTTCTCATTTTACGTGACCCAACTTATGGTGTGTATGGTTGTTGGCCACACTTTACCACCACAACTAAGGTTAGGCTACTTGTGGTAGTCACAAAATGTGTCAAAGTTGACAAGAAATTTGAGTATACGACGTGTGGGACATGCTATTGAAAAACTGTGGCAAGCCACAAGTGTTATAGTGAATCAAACACATGCCTAAAAACTATGATAGCCAAAAATTTGGCGTGGCAAAATGTGGGCATGAACCAAACACCCACTTAATCTTCATCTTAATTAATTTCAAACACCAAGACTAATTAAGATCAAGATTACTGTAAAATTTAATTATTTGGTCTTTGAGATCTATATATGGCTTTATAATGGGCTTGGCACTTGTTTACAGTAAAATTTAAATTATAAGGGCTCATTTGGAACTAGGATATTTGGATGAATTTTAAATGTGCGAGACTTTTCCTATACGCTCCATTGATATTGAACCACCAAATTTCTTTGAAATTTATATGGATTTTTTCAATTTATAGGAAATTCAAAGAATTTCTAACATGAAATCCAACCTTATGGGAATCTGTTGTGTCTACCTCTCTCGAAATTCCTATGCACTTTTTCTTTGAAGCAACCAAATGACATGTTTGAATTATTCGTGTATTTTATATATCTAGAGGATTCCTTAAACTATGACATTTCAATCCTGTATTTTTTCTATCCATGTGTCTTTAGAATCCTGCATTCTAAATGAGTATCTTTTATCAACACTGTAGTTTAATACTATACCTATTTCAAAATATAAGTAATTATTGATATAATCTAGACATATAAACATTTTTGTCAATTAATCTTGAGGGATTAAGCATTAATTGTTTATATTCATGAAAAATGCTTATATTTTAGAACCGATGGAATATAACGTTAGCTGTACATCCATATAACTATGGTAGTAGGTATAATTTTATTGGAAAGTTATATCTTTTTTTGTCTTATAAGAGTGGAACCATCTCAATCCATCATATGCAGATGCTATCAGGGGTGGAGCCCTAGGCCTGCCTCCAAAAACTTGCTTAAAATTTCTTATTTCACCATGTATTTTTTTTAGAAAACTAACACTCCATTAGTTGAGTTATATCTATAGTAAGTCCTAGTCTTGTATAATTTCTGGCTCTACCACTGAATACAATATTCATGTTAGTGTACGTTTGACCCACTACCTCGTCCATTCAGTCCGCCCTCGTGATCCCAGCTCATGCATGGCCTCCTTCAATCTTGCCTTCCTAGCATACTTGGTGGCGGCGAGTTCGACCCCCTATCACCAATGGAGGCCTCCTCATCGGCTATCGAGCCTCCTCATCTCCCTACTCTGACAGCTTTGCCCTAGGGTCTAGTGACGTCTGGCTTGTGTCGGTCAAATGTAGCCTCCTTGGTGCCGGCATAGAGAGAGGGGGGCTTCTCTCGTTGTTGCAGCCGCCTTACCACCGTCTTTGTCGTTGTCGCAACCGTGGCGAAGAGGGGTGTAGCTCTAGGCGGAGTGCGTGCGTGCGAAAGAGAGGCGAGGAAAAAGATGAAGTAGTGGATAACATGTGGGCCCAATTATACTTTTTAAAAGCATTATCTCCTTAGCTTGATGACTAGATTAACACATGGCTAAAACATCATCACGCGTGCGTCACATATGATCGATATTGTCTTTGAAATTTTCGGAGGATAATTCATTCGGTTTTACAATTCCGAAATGTCAAATGACTAATATCATATTTTTTTCGCGAACGCAAAATGACAAATATCATGAAATGGTATATATAACAGTGGCGGACGCAGGATTAAAAGCATGATGGGGCGGAGATATTCGTTTCATAAGGACACTAAACGCAACTAATACCATATCCTATATACCTATATACCTATATACTATAATTAAGGCAAACAAAACAATTTTAAAACAAAGCAATAATATTCATCATACACCAAAAGACTCATAAAGCATTGTTGATAGATATATTTAAAAAAGATAAATATATGAGAAGACATACCGGCAATAAAACACTAAGCCCTTCTATCTAGAAGGCTTAGGCAACTCTATTCGCCGGTCACCCATGGCTTTTGCTACTCTGTGCTCCCCCTACCGGCTGAGACAGTGAGAGTGAGACATTGATTTAGTGATTTGTTTGTTGATTCACTGAGAGGAGTGAGAGCCTGAGACATTGCTTGCCTGATTCGCTAGCGCCAGCGGCTGGCGTCGAGCTGCCCGAGCAGGAGGCGAGGTCAGCAGACGGCAGGTCGTGACTCGCGGGGAGGTCAGGAGGACTAGAGGAGGCCTTGGCGCTGGTGGACCTTGGCGCTGGCGGGCGGTGGCCTGGCCGGCTGCGAGCGGCATCGGGCCGGGCGGCCGGCCGTCGGCCATCGGCCATCGCTGCTCGCTAGGGCGCCGGACGGCGGGCGGCGGCAGCTAGGCGTCGTCGTCTCGTCCTCTGCGGTGCGCGCCGTGTGCGGCGGCCGGCGGTGGCGGCCTGCAGGTGTCGCTGCGCGTGGCGCCTGGCGCGGAGACGGAGTAAGTCGACGTCTCGGCTTCTGTCTCTCTCGGCGAGCGGGCGATGCGTGGAGAAACTAAACGTCGCGCGTGGGGTAGCGAGACAGAAGGTGAATTGGACACTGATGGGCTTTCTACTTATGGGCCAATTTGGCAATTTGTGAATAGATATGGCCCAAGGGGGTGTGGGGGGTTGGGGCGACGCGGGCCGTAGCTGGCCGACCGCCCCCATGCTGCCCAATGGGCAGTTCCGCCCTTGATATATAATGTTGATACCGAGAGATCCAAAACAATTTACGTCTTTCTTTCCGACCCGAGGGAGCATACGCGTGGCAAACACATGATGGGTTGGCCAAACGCTACACGAAACCGGGCCCCAATCATGGGCGATCAAACACAACCATGCTCTCAACATCCCTTGCGTGATCGATCGAACATGGCTCCGTCCGGAAAACGCCGTCTACGCGCGGCGTCACCATCACCTAGCCGGCCAATACATGTGCAGTTCCCGCTTCCTCATAGACCTTTTCATGTCGATCGAGGCCCAACTCGCCAAGTCACTCGCGGTCTAGTCCTTGCGGAAGTACGAAACATACAGAGAGAGCAGTACGTGTACCCATGAACCGTACGTCCTCCCTCCACGACATTTCTCCATCGTGTTCGTTCTCCACGAGACCACGAGAGAGACCGGCCGAGGGCCGCGGCCGCGGCCGCGACGAGACGACGACCAACCGGCGACGTTCTTTTGTTGCCCCTCTCGTCCGTTCGATCGGTGGAGCGTCGCAACTCGCACGCACCACACGCGGTCGTGGGTGTGGCGGTGAAACGACCTGTGGCGTGTGTAGGAGTAGATTAGATGGTTGGTTAGGCCCGCGGGATACACGTGCCTCCGTGAGACGTGGACGTAGCGAAACTGGCACGTGATTTTGCCGCCCGGTTTCCTACCCAATCCCGGGGCGAAGAGCCGATCGATGATATACTCTCTGCTGATCAAAGCACCGATGATCGACTCGTTTATTTGTTTGGAGTAAATCTGCTACTCCATTAATGCTCACTATAAATTCGTGTACACCACATTAATGCTCACTAAATTCTAACCCTGCATATCATGCACCTGAAGAAGCCAAGGTTAGTTAGGGCCTGTTTAGATCCATTTGGAATGGCAAATGACAAATGGCAAAAGTTTTAGTGGCAAAAGTTTTAGCATTGCAAAAGTACTAGTTGGTGTTTAGATGCATGTTAAAGTTTTGCCATTCTAGCACTAAAGTGAGAGAGAGAAAGAGAGAGGGAGTGGTCCCAAAGCACTTTTTGGCACAATTTGCTACTATGGACTAGCAAATGCCAAATGCCAAATTGCCAACTTTTGCTACAAGTGTTTAGATCTAAAATGACAAAAAGTGCTACAAAATTTTGGAGGATCTAAACATGGCCTTACTAGAGTAATCACGCGAGATCGGATAGGGTGAGGAACTGAGAATCTTCTATTATAATATCATTATGGGTGTGTTTAGTTCACGTCAAAAATGTAAGTTTGATTGAAATTAGAACGATGTGACGGATAAGTTGGAAGTTTGTGTGTAGAAAAGTTTTGATGCGATGGAAAAATTAAAAGTTTGAAGAAAAAATTAAGATATAAACCAGGCCTAACTCATATACCAGTGTGTAATAGTACCATATTATGATAGATGATGTAAACCTGATCAGATTTGCTCGAGTTGGTTTGATAATAAACTGAAGTACTGACAATGCAAACAAAATCTCCCCTCCCCCAATAAACTTGATTTGGCAAGAGCGTAAATACTTACTTCCTCCGTCAAAAAACTAACCTTAGTATAAATAGGACATTTTCTAAAACAAATAATCTGAACATAACTAAGGTTGGCGTTTTTTCGTTTTTTTACGGAGGGAGTACCTGCTACTACGTGCGACTATGCGAGATGCGACCATCGTCACCGAATTTGCTGCCGAACAGCTAGCACAAGCAGCTCCATCCTACGCAAGCCGTAACAGATTGGAGGAGGAGCAGGAGTACTCACGTATTACCAGCAGTCTAGCACTGTCCACGCGGGCCCCACGCCGCTCTCGGGAAAAGAGCGCTTGGCCGTTTCCTTCGCGCCAATCCCACCGCGCGCGCCCACAAATACCGCGCCCCTCCCCCCACCCCACCCCCCCCCCCCCCCCGATCCGGCGATCCCCCTCCTCGCCGTCCGTGCCACCGCCGCCTTCTCCTCCCTCCCATCCCCCGCGCGCGGTTTTCTTTGGCGTTGAAACGAGTCAAGAACGCCTTCTTCTTCTTCTTGTTCCGTTCGATATCCCCGTGCAGAGGCAAGGCGGCGGGTCTCCCGTTCTTGGATGGTCGTTGTTGGTTTCGGTTGGTGTCGATGGAGTTCTGGCCGGAGTTCTTGGCGAGCAGCTGGGGGAAGGAGTTCGTGGCGGGGGGAGTCGGGGGCATGGCCGGGGTGCTGGCGGGACACCCGCTCGACACGCTCCGCATCCGCCTGCAGCAGCCGCCGCCGCCCGCCAGCCCCGGGATCACCGCCGCGCCGGGGCGCCCCGCGTCCGCCGCCTCGCTGCTCCGCGGCATCCTCCGCGCCGAGGGCCCCTCCGCGCTCTACCGTGGCATGGGCGCGCCGCTCGCCTCCGTCGCGTTCCAGGTGAGCAGCAGATCGCTTTCCCCCCACCCCCCGTGATGAGCTCGCACGCGACCTGTTCGGAGTTATGAATCCCAGGAGTATTTTGATACGTCTTCCTCCTTTTCTTCTTGCTTTCTTTGAACCTGACATTTCTACCTACAGCTGTTCCAATCTACTATCCTTTTTTTTACTATAAAAAAGTCCTTTTATGAAGAGAAATTTTGTTCAAACAAACGCTTGACATCACCATCAATGACAAAAACTGTGACTAGCTGATGAGCTAGCCATTTAATTACGGCTCTACATTGACGGTGAAATGACTAGATAGCCTCATAGCCATTTCCCTTGCTTGTCGCGTTCGGAAACTGGTTGCAATTTTTGCCACCTCCTGTTCTTGTAGGATAGTAATGGCAAAACACAACCACACACAGTAATCAAACATGTAACTACTAGAAGCTTCTCTGCTGGATACGCACAATTCTTGCAAGTTTTGTAGGGGTAGCTTTGGTGAGATTGCTTGCACTGATCGCTCAGCCCATTTGTGTAATCAGGGTAGATAGATCCAAGAGAATTAATTTCTGGCTGGATACTTAGCTGAGCAAAAAGATGATGGGCCTGCCTCTCACATACTCCCTCCGTTTCACAGTATAAGTCATTCTAGCATTTTCCATATTCATATTGATTTTAATGAATTTAGACATATATATCTATCTAGATTCGTTAATATCAATATGAATGTGGAAAATGCTAGAATGATTTACATTGTGAAACGGAGGAAGTATCATTCACGTGTTTTTTTTTCTTTTTTGGAGAGAGAAACATATTCACATGTTTGCTTCAGTAGTTCTGTGTAGTACTCTTGCCAGTTGCCACCTCCTCATTTCAGGCTGCTCACATGGTGTGGCCTCTGCATTATGCAGCTGTGCGTAGCCAATAAAGGCAGCAACGTACGCTGACAATGCTTACGTTTCGTGTCTCTTGATGTTGCCAAACATTAGGCCAAAGTCCTTTTTTATGATTTTTTTTTCCAAAATTTTGTGAAGCGAGAATCTTGTTGACCTGATGGTTTTTTGTTGTTCAAGGATGTCCTCAATTCTTTTTATTTTTCTGTTGCAGAATGCAATGGTCTTCCAAGTCTTCGCGATCCTGTCGCGGTCGATCGATCAACCGAGCTCCATGTCGGAGCCACCGTCGTACACCAGCGTGGCGCTCGCCGGCGTCGGCACCGGGGCGCTGCAGACGCTGATCCTGTCCCCCGTCGAGCTCGTCAAGATCAGGCTGCAGCTGGAGGCGGCCGGGCAGAAGCACCGCCGGCCCGGCGACCACCACGGGCCCGTGGACATGGCGCGCGACATCCTGCGGAAGGAGGGCGTCCGCGGCATATACCGCGGCCTCGCGGTGACCGCGCTCCGGGACGCGCCGGCGCACGGCGTGTACTTCTGGACGTACGAGTACGCGCGGGAGCGGCTGCACCCGGGGTGCCGCGGCCACGGCGGGGAGCAGGAGAGCCTCGCCACCATGCTCGTCTCCGGCGGCCTCGCCGGCGTCGCCAGCTGGGTCTGCTGCTACCCGCTCGACGTGGTGAAGTCGCGGCTGCAGGCGCAGGGCTACCCGCCGAGGTACCGTGGCATCGCCGACTGCTTCCGGCGGAGCGTCAGGGAGGAAGGGCTCCCCGTGCTGTGGCGCGGCCTCGGCACCGCCGTCGCGCGGGCGTTCGTCGTCAACGGCGCCATCTTCTCTGCCTACGAGCTGGCACTCCGGTTCTTGGCTAGCAGCAGCAACGACCAGAGGCTGGTCATGGAGGAGAACTGAATCACCGAGACGGCGAGACTGCAGGGGTTGTACATAGACTAGTATTCATTGGCAGCATTTCCGAGGCTCGTAGCGTCGCAAGAAGATGAGATTTTCAGAGAAAGCATCGTTGCTGCAGAGTTCGTGTAGATTGGCATTATAGGTTTGCCAAATGATGATGATGATCAATCCCCAATTGTCTAGGGAAAACTTTTTCTGGTGTACTGCTATTACAGATATAATAACATTGTTTGAGACAGTAAAGACTAAAATTAATCTTCTTGTCTTGCTGGGATTCCATGTTTACTCTGTTGTTTTTCCTAAAAAAAAAAGTTTACTCTGTTGTGTAGTTTTTTTTTCTCAGTTCAGACAAATAAACAAATACCCTTTTGCTAATTCACATTTCTAAACCCTTAGAAATATGCTTCTTTTTTATCCTCTGTGGATCTCCAAAAGCTCAAAGATGCACATTATTTTCAGTTTCCCGTTTGATTTTTTTACTTCTACAGGAAAAGGAGGAGAATCCCAATACAAAACAATGGTCTTGTGACTTTGTGAGGTGTTTTCAATCAAGACAAGAAAAAGGTTGCTTTCAGCAGCTACCTCAATGAACAAGAGGAAGGCAAAAGGTAGACTCTTTTCTTGGGAGCACTCGTGGATATGAAATTACCATTTATGTGTAATCTTTTTCTGCTTACGATTGGCGAAATTGCAGGCTATCTTACTCCACCCAACCAGGTCTAGATCCTGATTCCAAAAGGAATCCAGTTGGTTTGATTTGATTTGAGGTCCCAGATCCCTGGAGAAAGCTAAGCCAAGTGAGAAAGATACAGCCGTGCTAACTGATTGCTTTGCCAATTGTCATGGAATTTTGTCCTTGTCCATATCTTCAACATGGATTCACCTATTTCTGAAGATTCGCAGAATCAGACAAGATCATATTCTATATCATATTCTCAAGACTTAGGACTCCATCGAGGCATATTTGCAAAAGAAAAAATAATTTGTAAATAAAAATTTTATATACGTGTTCTTAATGATCTAAAAGCAAAAGCTGAAAAATAAACTACGATGAAAAAACTCCAAAATCAACTCCATATTTAAGGTTGAAAATTCAAATTTTGACTTATAAGCATAAGCATAAGCCAAAAGATGAGGTTGTTAGATCATATAATCTTTGTGAAATCTCATATCCTTGTATGATGTCACAAATAAGTGGTGTATCGAACATCAGCATAGTCTGTAAAGCACACTCCATATGAGATAATCTTGGGAAGACATTATGTAATTACCTCCATCCCTTTTTATACAACGTCAGTTACTAGGATCGAACAACAATAACTAAGCCAACCCTTGCGTGCGCGCGGGGGAGGGGGGGAGGTTGAATGGTTGTAATACCCAAAACCAAAACTTTTAGTAATCGACGGATGTCGGTCTGACCGAAGTAGGTCTGCCGTTCTAACAGCGTGATCTGACCGGAGTTGATCTCCCGGTCTGACCGTCCTGAAGCGTCGTTGCCTTCTGTCGCGGTCGCCGGTCTGACCGAAGCGATGCCACCGGTCTGACCGTCGGTGTCCTGCTGGTTGGACCACCGCACCCGAACAAACACAAATTGAAGATACCTCAAAGTAGATTGAAACTTTATTATTTCTCTCTGTGTTTACAAAGTGCAACAACACTCCTCACAAAAATCTCGACTACCCATTGTGTGTATGTGGGATGTGGAGTCGAATTTGGAGGGAGTCCAAATTTGGTACAATTGAGTTTGTAAAGTTCTTTTTCTTGCACGAGAAGGTTTCCTAGGGGAGTAGGACTTCTTGTAAAAGGTTGGTTCTTAGCTTTAGACTGCTTACCTCGGGTATAAATAGAAAGGGAGGGTGTGGCATCCCGTTATCGATATTGAGAGAGTTAAGTTTAGAGAAAAGTTAGGGTTTCGAGATCGTATGTCATATGAAATCTTTACCAACCACGTGCATGGATCTTTAGCCTAAGCATCCTGCATGATATCTTGATCGTCCGGCCATCATCTTCTCCCAAGTTGACTCCCGATCCGGCGTCAAGACTCACATACACATGCATCAATCAAGAAACCATATCTGAGCACATGTTCTCACCAATTTGACTCATTGTTAGCACACAAAAGTATTACATACGCCATAATATCCACCTAGAAATCATAAACATGATTTATCCATAGGTATCCAAATAAGCAATCCGAAAACGAAACCGACACATCGTCGGCTGGTCAGAACGGCTATCACAACCCGGTCTGACCAGACCTAATATGTCAGCAATAATCCCTGTTCATCACCTGAAAAACTAATATCTCTAAAACCACCTTGCCAATAATCTACAAAAATCAAAACTAATAATCTCATATGCCAATTGTTCGTCACAAAATAGCAATCAAACACACTTTGATTTTACAAGTTAGTTAAAAATAAGCTAACCACGTTAAAAAAACACCAAAGGGCGAAAGGGCCTGTAGCCTAGTAGTTACAAAAGTCTCAGTAGCACCTTGGGTCCTGGGTTCGACTCCCTATGGGAGCGAATTTTTCCAGGATTTAACGGATTTGTTCTCTAGCGATGTTTTAGAATGTAGACAAACACTACAAGGGACAGTCTTGAAAAGAAAATCCAGTGTGATAGTAAAAGGGTTGAAAACGAGAAAAAAAAAACCGTAGACAACATAGTGCATACAGCGTGGCCCAAATAGCTATTCTGGGTCCCTATCTTGCTCTAACTGGGCTACCAGAGGTCCACACAGCCCATGTGGAGAATACATTTCCAAAGTTCAAAATAAGCAAATTATTTTTTCTAGGGGCTTGGCTAGTACCGAGAATTAACACAAAGTTTTCCAGGTTAGTAGTAGGAAAAATCTATCAGAATAAAATATGAATGCACATAGCTGGATAGCATGTAACACATGGCAAAAATGTGTGCTTCCAATGCTATATGCAACGTCATATATAGGGACAAAACTAGAACTATTTGAAGGGAATAATTTCAAGGAAAAATATGGTGAACTTACCGCATCGCAAGGTCAAATACTCAATCAATATACACGACACATGTACATTTGCAAGTAACACTGTATATATAGATGGACTCTTGAATCGTACTCGAGCATTCTGAATGGATTGTTTCTGGATGAAAGCCCACGGATTATCTACTTAACTAGGTGATTTCTTGTGTGTTGTTGCGGGAATTACTAAGTAGTCTTTTATATGTTTTCTTTTGTCGACAATTGAGCTATGAGTAAAAAGAATATTAGTTATTAACAACAAATAAAACCGATTTATGAAACCATGTTTGAAGAGAAATACATTTCATAGACTTTGTATGAGATTGCAGATGAAATATTAAATTGCTAGCTGAAATTTGCATCAAGCAGAGATAAGGAAAAAAAATGAAGAAAGTCTGAGTTTATTAGTAATAATCAATAAATAAACTAAATGATATACCATTCTTTGATGGATAAATATATATTAAGTATTATAAGAATGATAAATAGATATGCTGAAATATTGTAAAAATAATGTGAGGGGTGATGCATATTGATTTGTAAAATTCATTAAATTTTAGATGATGTTGCATGCTTGCATGAGTTTTGGTATGTAATTATTGCTAGTAGATGATGAGGTGATATGTTTGCATGTTAAGTTTTAGACTTAGTGGGTACATGATGAGGTGGCATGTTTGCATGTTGAGTTTTAACTTCAGTAGGTTACAACTGTTGGGGGAAGGATTGTGACCCTTTCGTCAGCGCCCCCCTCCCCCCGGGTCCTGAGGAGGCTAGGGTCTCCACTCCCAGGGCCGCCACCGATGCCTTGCGGAGTCCCGCAAGGCGGGCTCTTGATGGAGCCCTGCGAAGTTGGCAAGCCCGTAGAGGGCAGTTGGCTCCGGAGGCCTCGGAACCAACTGAAGGGCTCCGAGGGTCTCGAAGCCCAGTCAAGGGACCCAGAGACCCCGGAGTCGGAGCCTAGGATGGCCTCCAGAAGTGGGCATGGGCATTGCTCACCCTCCAACCACCACTGACGTCACGGCACGGAAGGCGATGTGAAGGCCAATGCTAGCTATTACGTGGAGCTCGCTATTACCCGGGTAAAAGCTAGCATCATGATGGCACCATACCGCCTTCTTAATGGGCGCAGCCGGCGTGCGTTCGGGTGGATTTGACCCCCAACCTGTTGGCTGGCCCACCCGTCAGCCAACTCGGGATAGCTAGGATGATAGGGACAATTTTGTAACTTCCTTTATATGCTATCGGGTATAAATATGTAAATGCTACCCTCAGAAGAGCTCAGAAGAGGGGGATTGAACCATACACAGAAACACTTGCTTAGCATTCGTGAGTTGTGTTCCAACACAACTGTATAGAATGTATATATTATGTGGAGGACTAAGTATATTATAAGTTGTGAACATAACAATAGAACAACCGATATAATAGACGCAATAGATTTTTTTAGAAATAGTGTTTTTAAGAAGAGTAGAGTAAGAAATCTCGAGCAATAATCGGTGGATAATCTAAAAAGAGGGGCCAATATGATGAGTTAGCATGCATTACGGGCACATGACATGATCTAGATCCATGCAGGGCAATCTTGCACACCCAACAAGTGTTGATTATAGGCCTCAATCACAATCACAATCACAATCACATTATATTGATGTGCCTCAATCGACTATTGGGCACATCTAGACAAGCTGTAATATGGATTTTAAGTTCCTGGTTAGCTTAAAGAACCGTACTGTGTACACATGAACTGAGCTCATCTAATTTGATTTCTTGTGCTGAAACTTATCCATTTATGTTCTAAGTCCTATTCTTGACACGACCACTCACGTTTACAGTTGATTTTCTTTCCGTCGTAGATATCGAAAGCGAGACATTTGTATACACCGATCCAGTGTTCGAAGATGCTTATAGAAATATGATATGCATATGCTTATTCATAAGGGTGAGTGCGACGCTTAAGCTCACGTGTTTAGGAAGGAAAAAAAGCTCATCATGGGACGCTAAATCGTCGGAGCTCTGCCGAAGTTCGCCACGGCTAGGGAAGGATGTCGCGGTGCACAAATCGTGTAGCTGACCTGACGGTCATGATTTTGTAAGGTTTGCGCTGATTTTTAAGTGAAATACCTAGTACCATTTAGCAAATTCATAATTTTAGTATAATTCCTGATCCACGGTACGAATCGACTTTTTGGGCACATCCAGACAAGCTGTAATATATGAATTTTAAGTTCCTGCCTAGCTTAAAGTACAGAACTGTAAAAGCTGTACCTTTA